TTCAATTTTCGTTGGTCTAATCTTAATTCCTCATACTTGTAATAAATACATAGTTTCTCATCGTCACTTACGAGATATTAGGATTTTTTTTTATTTTCAGAAAACTTAACTTGATTTCAGATAAATTAAATAGTATATTTCATTGATTGGAATTCTAATTGTTTTTGAATAGACTATTGCTCAAGGAATACAAGTGCAGTTGGTTTTGGCTCGAGATTTGACTTTTTTGCTTCTACAACCAAAAATGTAATATCGTTGCAATCACGATTCGCATAACACTCAGCTATGAGACGAGCAACATCCTTAAAAAAATTTCGAACAAAAAATATTTTATTAAAGATTCATAAAAAAGTAAACATAAAAGTGGAAAGCTTACTTGATGTTCCATTCCTTCAACTTTGTTCTTGTCTACTTCAAGAATTAGTTGGCCTACTTCTAATCCACCTGCTTCAAATGCAGCTCCATGTTCCTTAAGAATATAAAAGTAGTATTTTTTTCATATCACCTTTACTATAGAATAAAATATCAAGAATGATTCTTACATGGATGTTGATTATCCTAGGCAAAGGATGCTTTGTATTGGCACCTCCTTCTATTGCAATCCCAAGAATTGGTTTGGTTTTTCTAACCCTTATAAACAAATTTCCATTTTCATCAGGTACAATATTAGATAAATTATCTTGATTCTGCAGTTCTTCTATACTGGCTTCAATGTTTTCTGTTGGCAATCGTTGAAGAGACTATAAATTTTAAAAACAAAAAATTTTCATATTGTTATCTTGCTTTACTGTTGAAAATTTTACAAGCTTGTCAACACATGAACAATTTTGCTTTAACTAAGTTTACATCTAATTAGCAAAAAAAATGAACGTGAATGCTTATATTTAAATTATTCAATGTGAAATGCAATTCGTATTTTTAAAATATCAACTTTGACGTTTTATCACGAATTTTCAATTCTTTTATTTTATGCAAGGCATCATTGAGATATTTATTTTGGTCTTCAGTGAAGACTTCATGTTTTTAAGAGACATAATATTATCGAAACGACTTTTGAGAACGTATATTGAGAATTGAAACAAAAATGTTATCTTACCTGATCCTACCAAGGATAAGCATAAAATATATGTAAATTAATTTTATTATACTTGGTTCTCGATATTTTGAAAACATTGCTTGCATTCAAGAGTGTTTATATATTTTGGAAGGAAATCATTTAAGAAGTTAAAATGGAATCAATCTGAATTTCTCGAAAATTCACACATTTTATTGTAAGTTAATAAATAAAAAATTGATAAAAAATCTTCTACCAAAATCTACTTCAATTATTTTATTTGATCATTTTTAAAAGAAAATGCATTTCTCACTCTATGCCCGCTGTGATAATCAACTCGTGGAGTACTTTTTACAGTTCCACATCTGTAAACAAGCTCATCGTATCGAGATCGATCTTCAGGGAAAATTAATTCTCTTATCTCTGTTACTAGCGTGTGCTTATAAGAATATAAAATGAAAAATTAATAATTATATAATATTTATGTATGTTTATATGCTTACTTTTTCAGGAGTATCCAACATTTCCAATAAAATAGAAACGAATGCATCAACATTAAGTCCTCTAGCACCATATTCTTTTATATAAAAAGATAGATTAGAAAACTGATGTCTTGGAAGTAAACTATGGGCTTTTTCTTCGACCATTGCTGAAACTGGACATTTCCTTCGATTTATATCCCACGGTTCTGATTCAACTGTAGTACAAGAATGTGGTACTTTCCCAACATCACGCACAACCAGTGACATTCTCTTATGGAATTTGAATTGATTGACAGCTTCATCATGAGTCACATTCATGAATGATTGTCCATTCACCTCAAGTATTTGATCTCCAATCTATGAATTATTAAATTTAAAATTAGGAATGAAAAATATTCAAAAGAAGGAAATATTACATTCAATCCCGCGTGATCAGCAACACTATCCTTATCAACTCCAGTAACATAAATTCCTAGTCCATATTCGATTCCACCCCGTATCATCAGGCCTAATGATTGGCCTGGTTCTATGATGAGTTCAACATTGCGTACTCTGTTGTTGAAAATTAATTATTAATAATATCATTGAATTAGTTACATTTTTTATCATACGATACCTATCTCTTTTGTCTGACCTTCGGCCTTCAAAATCATAAGGAGGTGATGCTGGTCGACCATGTCGATCCATCCACGAACAAGTGTGATGAGATGGTGGAGATAAAAGAGCTCCAGTCATGGGAGATGATTTAAATATATCACTAGTGCTTGCAGGTGGGCCATAACCGTGAAGTGAAACCGGTCCACGCACCGTCATTGTTATTTGATGTGATGATTTCAGAATCTGTATACATCTCTTTTTTAATGAATTATTCCAGTTTTTCTTTTTGTTTTAATTTTTTTTTTTTTATAATGCAACGACAAAGATTTCCAAATACACAACCAGAATAAAAAAATATACATAGAGAAATATACTTAGAAAATTGGAGGAAGAAAGAAATAAGGTAAAAAAGAAGGAATTAACAGTTCAAAAAGTCCACACTTAGAAAGAATAAAATAAGAGTAATAAAACATCGAGTGCGTTTAACTGCAGCCAATATTAGCTAAATTAAGTGAAAGAAAACCTAGGTCAAAATTATACGAAAGGAACCTGCAATGTATTAACAAATATTTCTATCTATATGGACAAGTTAAAAATCATAAAGATACTTTTTTATACAAGACAGTAAACATTGTGATTTTTTTTAATATTTCAAGGCACGTGACGCTAAATTTGAATTCAGATTTCTCAAAAATTCTTATCCCTTTTGATTATTCAACATTTTAACTAACTCTCACAAATTTATTAGCGGAACTACATCTAATTAAATTCCTTGTTAAATTCTATTTTTTTATTTTAATTCTAAAGTGGTTTATAGACAACTAATTAAGAAATTCCATTTCATTGTGATAAAATAAAAAGTAAGCATAAATTTAAATGATAAAAATTAATACAAGTTGTTACTCTCTCTAAATGAGCTTTAAGTACTTACAGCAAGAGCTTCATCATGTGTCATCCCTGAGAATGGAGTACCATTTACTTCTAGAATAGTGTCACCTGGACGAAGACCCGACCTTTCTGCTACAGAATTCTCCTCAACTCGAGAAATATAAATACCAATTCCTGGATGAAAAATAGTATTTTAAAAGGAAATATATTAAAGTACTCAAGTAAATTAAATCACACCAGTTTCTTTCCCTCCTTTAACACAAATTCCAAAGCCATGTGATCCATCGGGTTGTTGATCTCGGCACATAACCACAGTGCGTTTAATCATAGAACGTTCACGAGAACTACGGTAACTTTGTATTGAACTTGATGTAGCAGGTGGAGAGTTTTGTCCATTTAAATACAAATGATGGTAGTTGATAGCTGATGACAGTTTTGTAGGAAAAATACTTTCAGGAGATGTTGTTCGCTTTTTTTTACTGGAACTTCTATGTGACTCAAAAAAAGCTTGATTCTCACTAGCCGTATTATTAAAATAATAATGAGGTGAGTGTGATGGCTCTGTTATTGTAAAACTAGTGTCTAAAGGTGGAAAAAAGCGACTTGCATCATTCGGTACTGATGAACTATTTGTTCTCCCGATACCATACAATGAACTTATACTATTAGCAGATATTCTTGATCGGTCATATGATAAAATATCTTCAGTCTCGTAGCTATCTCGAAGTTGTGTCATGCTACCTGACCCAAACGATTGACTTTGGACCATGTCAACATTTCCTCGCCGATTACTTATAACCGATGGTATCCAACGCTTTGAAGCAGATATTGTTGATATTGGTGTATCTAATATTTTATGTAAGTATTGATTGATTCATGTATGATTTATGTGTAAGCTTTTATACACACCTAAATCCAGATCAGGATAGTCATTACTGACTTCAATTGTGGGATTATTCAACGACGTTGACCCAAGTCGCATGTCTTTGTCTAAGGTCAACAAAACACATTCCAATTATTAATATCTTAGAAAATTTTGAATGTAACTTTAGCACTTTTTGTAGATATCTCTATATAAAAGATTTCAAACAATATTGTTTTATAAAGAAAAAAAAAGATAGGAAATGTACAATTTTGTTGGAAAATAGAAGGAACATCCATAACTAATTTTTCCATGATTCAATGTTTTAAAAACTATTTGTGATGACTATTTTCAAATGTAAAACTTTTTCAATTATGTTCTATTCACTTTTTCTAAATAATTTCACGCACCTAATATGTGTTTAAAAGACACATCATCTCTAAAGGATTTTTGATGTTGAGAAGAGATCGATAAAATCTTTTCATGTTGCTACTTAAATTTCAATGAAAAAAACTGGAAAACAAGATGAAAATTTGCTTCGCATTCAACAAAAATTATATTTTACTCTATTTCACTTTAAATCATAAATCACTAATCAATTTTCTTGAAAAGAGATTATTTCTTATAACTATTCACTCTTAGATTTCTGTAAATTCCAAGCAATGTTTCTTTTCTTAAGTATGTTTTTTTATCATTTTCCAATTTTCCTTCTTCTCTTATTTTTCACAACACGACTTTTCATTTCCTAGGGTAAAAGCATATTTTAAGGCTTCTAAAAAAACATGCTCAATTGAAAGATACGCGTTCAAAATAAAATCTCTATGAGGTTTGGTGTTGTAAAGATTTTGAAAGAAAACACTTTTATCTTCTGAAAACACCATTGTTGGACCAAAAAACCTTTTAACTTGAGATTGTACATTGTTTTTCGACTGACTCAAATTTTTCTTTTACCCTATCTTATACCTATCTTTAACAACAGTTTATATATCCGTCACTTTCTAGGGGAAAATTGGTAATATGAAAACATAGCTTTTCAGAAAAACCCACCAAAAAATATAAAATAATAATAATAATTATTTTTATTAATTATTTATTTATCAATAGTTATAATAGGAAGAAAATTGTATCTGACTCATTTTATTTATTTATTTTCAATTTCGTTTTTATATAGGTAGGTATTTATTTATAAAAAAGCATGTACAATTAAAATCATTCTCTTAAAAAATGTTAATTTTCTTATATCATACATAAACAAATATATCTTATTAAGTACAAATTAATATTAAAAAAACATTAAAAATAATGTTCATAAGAGAGAAGTAGACAAGATCAAGAAATCATCAGAAGTAGAATGCTAAATAGGTTTGATATTCGGAAAACAGACAAATGTTGATTGTATTTCTCTTCAGAGACCGTGTCCTTATCGGTTTATGCTTAAAAAAAATATATTTCATACAGTCAACCCTTTTAATAAAATAATTCAAGGGACCAGAAATTGAGTTGTTATGTAGATCGAGTGAAATTTCTTATGGAGGGAATTTTGTTCCAGATTTCGACCCAGTTGCAATTTACTATCGAGTAAATTAGGCAAGTAAATAAGAAGGGGCAAAAATAGGATCAAAGTTATTATGTAGGCAGTGATAGTTTTTATTTGCTTCTGCTTTGAATTGTTTTTTAAGATTTTATGATAAAATTCATATTGTATGTAAAGTATATTTTAATAAAAATCAGGTGCAATCATAAATATATTTTTTAAGATTCATAAATCAAATAGATGAATGAATCAATTACAGTTCTATCTATCAAACAAAATTGTATTTATTTCCATTAAACTATTTTGTATATTAAATATATATGCATGTACCTAACTTAATTTTCTAAGTTCCAGTAACAAAAATATGAAAATTTCAAGCTGAATGTATCAATAATGTCATTTTTGAATCAAGAAGTAAACAATCATTCATCATGTTCAAAATTGAATCAATTTTAATCAAATTCTAATTTACGAAAACTGCCAACAACTTGGTCGGATGAAGCAGATACCGTGTTATTATTTTTATTGCAGTTTCTTCGTCCTATAATCCCAGCGTCATTTAAAATTTGCATTTTGTCTAAGGAAAGTAAAGTATTTCTACTTGAAGTTAATTCACTTTTAAAAAGTTGGATCATCTCAGCCATTGGAACTTTCCCTCCAAGTTCACTTGGTAGCACATCTTTTGAATTTATTTCTTTTTTCAGATCTTCAGCTGTCACATGAACCTATAATAAAAATTTCAGAATAAGTTTCACGCAATATTTTTTTCCTAAGAACTTTACATGAACTCTTTCTTTCATTTTGCTAGAAATTATCGACTTTCCAGCATCAACAACATATTTTAACAATGGTGAAATATGATATAAATGAATTTCTTTATGGCGTAAAGGAATTGATTGTTCGCCCCATTTTAAAATCTTAAGAAATTCCAATGGATTCTTCCATATGCTCACATGGGACGTTGAAGCACCCGCAAAGTCACCAATATGCACAACACCTAAGATTTGTTCTTCTTGCGATTCCATAAGAATTTCATATGCAATTGAATGAGCTTTTACTTGATCAGAATACTCATATTCCACACCATTTAAGCCATCTATAAAATATATATACATATATATTATTCCTTATAAATTAACTTACAATAATAGCTATTTTCATATACAATCGTTTTACTTACTTGCGAAATAAAGAACTGTTCTTCTACCACAAATATCTCTTATAGGCGATATCATTATGTAGCCATTATCAATCAAGTTCTTTACTCCAGGACTCAAAAAGTCTAAATTGTACGCCAAATGGCCCATAACTCTTCTCATATTCAAGTATTTTAACAATTGCTGTTGGGCCATAGGAACACTAAATTTTTTATTACGTAAAAATCTTAAGAGAAACGTGTCATCAGTTCTGACATTCTCAACATCATAATTTTTCTTAAGCCATTCGCGCATTTGAACAAGAGATTGTTCCCTTGTTTTTTTATCTTCTCGAAGTTCAGATTTTGCCAGTTGAAGAGCAGATTCACTGATCTTACTTTCCTTTTTATGCTTGGCACTTTCAGGCTTAGATTTTGACCATGAGAAATTTAAAAGGACTTTTGTAGTTGCCATTGTTTGTCTAAAAAAAATTGGTTTTTAACTTAAAACATGAAAAATAATTACAATTTTTACATATTTTAATATTTAGTTAGCTTTTTAAAGTATCATACGAATCAAATAATGAGTTATAATAATCATCATAAATTTTTAGGGCCTTATCTATTGTAAACCTGATTGTATTTTTACTAATTATAATCTCAAACGATCATTTTCATATTAAATATTTTCTGAATAGGATGAAAAAAGCATTGCAACATTCTTGATTTTAACTTTTGTCTTTTTGTAATAATTTTGTGACCGACAAACATATAATCAAAATTTATGCACATTGTCTCAATATTCAGGTTTTTATTAGTGTCATCTTCATTTTGAAATTTACTTTTATAAACATTATCTGTAAATATTAGAGAATCATTTTATATAAAAGTTTAGAAGTATCAACAATTGATGGATACTTTCTATTTAATTTTTTTTTTTGAACTAAACCAATATCCAAAATTCCTTTGACTTTATTATAAGATGTTAGAAACAAAGTTGCAAGATCAAAAAATGAAAAAAAATTGATATTGAAACCAGTTTTAAACATTTAATCTTATACAGATGGGTTAGTTTTTAATGTTACCATATATCTTGTCAATATTTCAAATTTGGGAAAGTTTATATCTTATGACTCATGAGAAATGTAGGGAATACTTTTTATAAATAAATATATCAGCAAAAAATATTAAAAGTAACAAATTTACAAATTAAAGCATATGCTATTAAATGCATATTATTTTCCTGATATTTGCAATTTATTGCATTTCGTTTCAAAAGAAATTTCATAACTTTTTCGCAATATATTTCAACATCAAACATGTATCTATCTTGAGAAAAGCAAAATAAAAAAATTACAAAACCTGTATTAACAATATTAAAGCGCATTGCTATGCAATTGCGATTTCCTCTCGTTTCATTTTGTTCGCATGTTTCAAAAGCTTACATCACAAAAGAGTTGAATTACACTCTTTAGTGAGGTACCATTAAATAAACATTGCAAAACATGTTGAAGTTACAATATCAATTTCAAATCTATCATGCAAAGATCGCAAAGTACATTTTTTATGAATGTAATTAACAAACTTGGATTTTTAAAGTCAAATAATTATTACTTTTTGAAATTAGTATCATTTAAATCCTAACCGATTTTTCATACATCTTGGTAGCATAAGTTTCGAAAAAATATACAAACCTCTTGTTGTTACAAAATTTCTTGGAGCACAAACGTTTTTTTATTTTGAATTCAAAAAGATTTAGAAAGATTTTCTTTCTCAATTTTGTTCTACTTCAATTGTATAAATACCTAGGTATTTATTCTTCAAAATCGAAAGTAACTTCTTTCAATAGTTTTAACTTTCAATTTCATGCACCTTTTATAATTTATATGATAAAATAAAGTGGAACTGAAACTGTCACAGTATTTTTGTCTGAATCGATCAACTGGCAAAAACCGAATGGAAGAAATAACACGCTACCTAGATGGCAAAATAAACATTGAGGAAAAACTATAAACTTCGTGAGTGGGTCAATCGTTTATCTATCTAGTAGTATTTTGTGTGCAGAAAATAAAGAGAAAAAATTTGAAGCCATCTAACAGAAAAATTATTACATCAGTTCAAGTTTTATTTAAGAAATACTCTAGCTGGACCTTCGTTCGAATGATTTGATTTGCAAAATTGCCTTTACATATTGCAAAATGTTAAACATCTTCATAGAAATATTACAATATAAAAGTCTAAAATTTTCTTTTTTCCAATTGCTGAATTGTATCTAAAAATGGTAATTGAATACATATTACACATTCATTTTTTATACTAATTACTTACCTAATTAAAAAAGTTATTAAATAATTTATTTTGTAAAGATGTTAATTTTTCATACTTCTTTCGGTTTATCACCTTATTATTTTATGATTGGTGATCTCTTTATTGAATAAAAAACATCTTTTAAGTATTTAATCTTATATTTTTCATAACGAAAGCCCTAAATAATCAAAATTCAAATTCAACGACGAACCTAATTTAATAGTCTTTTATTTTCAGTTTTTCTATTAAATAGAGGAATCTTTTCAAAAAATTGGCAATTTAAAAAATATCTATCTACATTGAAATACATATGGAAACATTCAATACATACCCAAGTTTCTCATAAATTTGAATGAAATATGTTTGTGTGTGTATTCATTACCGAATGTTAGAATCTCATTTAAGTGATAAGTTATGTTTTAGATGCATGAAATATATGGAGTTTTTATGAATATTCTTAAAACTTTTTGATTATGCAACAGATTATATTTTGAAAACATGAATCTTTTGAAAATTGCTGTTTTTTTATTCAATGTGCAATTTGTGTATCTTCTTAATACATATTTTCAAAGTTATGCTAAAGAAGAGGTACAAAAACAAGCAGCCCGAAATGTGATTGAAAGACTTATAGGGCACAAAGTTGAAAATATATCCTTAAAAATAAATTTCACTTTGCCTCTCAACTATTTTAAGGTAAGATTCAATTTAAAACTCATCTTTGTTACTTAGTGTTGATGACATAAAATAAAATTTTAGATTCTTAAGACAAATCATACAGATATTCTTCTCATTGAAGCATCAAATGGAGTATCCGCTTGTAAAGCATTTCAATATTATTTGAAAAGGTTTTGCAAAGCTCACATATCGTGGGATGGAAATCAGTTATCATCATTTGATGGTACATTTCCTGAAGCTCAATATGAAATGCAATCTTCAAGTCAAATAATTTATTATCAAAATGTATGTACTCACTCATACAGTTATTCGTGGTGGTCAATTAATGAATGGAGACAACACATCGATTGGATTGCTTTATCTGGAATCACTTTAACTTTAGCGCCTTTTCAAGAAGATGTTTGGAATGAAGTTTATAAGGATTATGGTTTATCTCAAACGGACATCACTGAGCATTTTGCGGGACCAGGATTTTTCGCATGGCAACGAATGGGAAATATAAGAGGATGGGGAGGGAAACTTTCTCATAATTTCATCAACTTTTCATCAATACTTCAACAAAATATAATACAATCACTCAATAATCTTGGCATAGCAATTGCTTTGCCTTCTTTTGATGGACATTTACCAGTTGGTTTTGCTAAAATTTTTCCAGATATTAAATTTACTTTAACAGAGCAATGGAATCATTTTCCAATGAACTATTGTTGTCCACTTTTCCTGGATCCTACGGAGCCGCTCTTTATAGATATTGGAAAAAAGTTTTTAACTCGTCTGACTGAAAAATATGGAACAAATCATATTTATTTTAGCGACCCTTTCAATGAAGTGCAACCACATGTTTCAAGTTCAGAGTACTTAAGAAATGTTTCAACATCAATTTTTTCAATAATGACATCAGTGGATCAAAAAGCTGTATGGCTGTTGCAAGGATGGATGTTTGTCAAAAATCCTTTCTGGACCAATGAATTGATAGAAAGTTTTCTTACAGCTGTGCCTCAAGTAATTTATGAAAATTTATGTGGAAATACAATACAATTGAATTCTTTCTTTGATTACTCAGGGAAAAATGTTAGTACTCGATTTGCAGAGTGAACAACATCCTCAATATAATAGAACTCATTCATTTTTTGGCCAACCTTTTATTTGGTGTATGTTGCATAACTTTGGTGGCACTTTAGGAATGCATGGATCTTTGGAATTAATTAACATCGAGTTGTTAAGTGCTTCAAAAATCAATGGTTCTTCCTTGGTGGGTGTTGGAATAACTCCTGAAGGTATTCATCAAAATTATGTAGTATATGAATTTGTTTTGGAGAAAGCGTGGAATTACAAACAATTCAACGTTAAAAAATGGATAAAACATTATTCTAATGTTCGGTATGGTTTCGTGTCAAAGGAAGTAGAAAGTGCCTGGGTGTTACTCCTTAAAAGTGTCTATGCATTTGAGGGTCAACAAAATATCCGTGGTAAATATACATATTGCAGACGTCCAACTTTGAAATGGAAACCTTGGAAATGGTAAAAAATGACATTTTAAATCTCTTGTTATACCTAATACGCTTTTGTGTTTAATTATTCTTTAAGGTATGATGAGAAATATGTTCGAATTGCTCTGCATAAGTTTCTATTAACATCAACAAATGAAACTTTATATTTTAATAATTTGTTTCAAAGGGATTTAGTTGATTTGACTCGTCAAGTCTTACAAAATCAAGCTGACATTTTGTATTTGGCTATTGTCAAAAATTTTAAAACAAAAACAAATATAACACATTTGTCATTTTTATGTGAAACCTTTTTGGAACTTCTTAGAGACTTAGACACTCTTCTTGGTACGCATAATGATTTCCTTCTAGGAAAATTTCTTGAGAGTTCAAAATCTTTGGCGTCTAACAATGCAGAAAGAAAACAATTTGAATTTAATGCACGAAATCAAATAACTCTTTGGGGACCAAATGGTCAAATAACTGATTATGCAACAAAACAATGGAACGGTATAGTAAAAGATTATTATCTGCCTAGATGGTCTCTGTTCTTTCAAAAACTACTTTCATCATTGGAACAAAATATTCCTTTCAATCAATCTCAATTCCAAAAAAGTGTATTTGAAGAAGTGGAGATGCCGTTCAACTTGGAAAATAAAACATATCCAATAGTTTCAGATGGTGAGATCAATAATAGAGAATGTAACTATTTACATAGTTAAAAATATACATTTATAGGAAATAGTATTGACTATAGCAGATTCCTGTTTCAAAAATGGAACAATATGAACATCACTGAGCCTTAAGTTCTATCAACATAAACAATATCTTGAATGAATAAAGCAATATTTTATTATAACGTTTCGTTTTTTTTTGAGAAAGTTTTAAGCATACATTTATCAACTCAAGAAACATGTTAATTTTTAGTATTACTATCTTCATCAGAAAATCCAAAGCAGAGTCCACTTGATGTAGCTTCATGAGTAGACTTTGATGTAGTTATTAAATCATCAGTATTGATATCTAAATAGGTTGAATTTAATATTTAATGTCTAATATAATTGTCAGCATTGAAAGAATTTCAATGGAATTCATTGGACTTACTCTCTGTGAAAGAATAATTTTCTTCTACAATTGTTTCCATTTCTTCACCAATTTCTTCATCTTCTAATTCAAGTTCACTTCCTTCATCTTCATACTGCTCTTCATCATCATTTCGTTTTTGGAAAACTTCTATGACTACATAGTTTTCCTCAATTTCTTCTTGCTCTCCTTTGACATGTGCGACTGCTTCAGTAGCTTCATGAGTTGCGATATGCCTCATAAGATTCCCCTTGTGCCTGAAAGCCTTGTTGCAAGTAGGACAATGATGATTTTTTTCTCGTGGAGCTGCAGCAACGTAATCTGGATTATGATAAATATTTTCATGTCGTTTCAACAATTGTTTCTGGCGGAAAGTCTGTTCACAGTATTGACAACTAAAAGGTTTTTGATCAGTGTGAATGAGCATATGTGACTCAAGATGTCGAGCTGAAATCGAAGCATAAGCGCATAATTCACATCTGTAGCATTTTTCTCCATCGTGAGTCTTTGCATGAATCTTATAACTGTAACGATCAGGAAATTCGTTGTCGCAACGTCTACACTTAATGGGAACATCAGATGTATGAAGTTTCTGCACATGAATTCTTAGATCTGTTTTGCGTCCACATGTTGTTGGACAAAGCTCGCATTGAAACACTGGCTTTTCACCAACTGAATGGATCATCTTATGAGCCTTCAATGAATTAGATTGTGTAAAACGAGCACTGCAAATATCACCTGAAAAATCCATTTCTCTTAATTCATATCAAAGACATTTTTTTTAACTAAATCTAATTAAACTTACACTGATAAGGCTTTTCACCAGTATGAATTCTTAAATGTCGTTTCAACTTAAACGTGTCAGGAGAAGCGTACGTACAGTGAGGACATTGATAGGGCCTCTCTCCAGTATGGCATCTTATATGCCTTTTAAGTTTGCTCAATTCGACACTTGCGTAATCGCAATCAGGACACTTATGAGGCTTTTCATGAGTATGACGATATCTGACATGCCGTACGAGTTCTCCTGAAGTAGTAAACGCTGAGTCACAGAATTTACAAAGATGAGGTTTGGTTCCTGTATGTGTGTTGACATGATTTGTCAAACTGGCAACTGTTTTAAAGCCTCTTTCGCATACGTTACATTTATGAGGCCTAAAATAAATGTTAGTTTTATCTCAAATACTTACTCATGAGTAGGATTAATATTGCTTACCGATCCTCTGAATGACATTTCATATGACGAGCAAGAAGATAACGTTTCGGGGTTCTATAATTGCAATATGAGCACATATGAAGGGTACCCTGACCTGATCCAGCTTGAAAACCACCTTTCTTGTTATTTATTTGGGTAATAACTTTCTCAATTTTCGATTTGTCATCAATATTTTCCACTGCATCTTCCTCATATTCATCGAACTCATACACTTCACCTTCAACATCTAATGTTTTTTCTTCAGCACCGTCTTCTTCATCTTGAACGATGAACACATATTTAAAGTCATCATCACGGTCAGCATCATCTCTAACAATGATTTCCTCGTAGTCACTTGGATCTACTCGATTAGATTCAAGGAATGATTTTTTCGAATTTCCAGATGTTGTTGGATTTTCTTCAGGCTCCTCAATTTCTTTGAATGAATTGATGTAAGATTGGATTTCATTCTCTTCTTTGACTTTGACTGTTTTTTTTGTTGTTTTCGACATGACGCTAGCCAAAGTTTTTTCTTACTTTTATCTACAAACACACATATTGAAAAAGTATAAGCCAATCAATATATTTAAATTTTAAATGCATCTCTTCCTAATTTTTATACATTATATCTTTAGTATTAATTAGAAACAGTATCAAAGAACTGTCTGTTTACATTATTAATGCGACATATTACAAACTAGATGGAGTATGTGAATTTTTTCATCTATTCTCGATAGGTAGCGTCTTATACGATTTCCTCACCTTGTTGTTCAGAACTTATAGTTTTCAAGATTGATGTTTGTGGAAACAAAGATATTTGATATTTTTAAATATGTTTACAATGTTTAAGAATTCAGCAAAATTAATAAATTAGAGCTCCGATCTATTGAATTCTACTTTTTCAGTGAAAAGAAATCGATATTGAGGCTATATTGCTATCTCTTTCTAAAATACAGTAAACGGTTTTAGATACAGAGTCTCCTTTATATGTGAAATAAAGATCTTCAAAATAATACCAGTAACAATAACTTTAGATTTTAGATCTTAATTTTTACTGAGATTTCATTAACATTTTTATAATTTGAAATCAACATAAGCACAGACAAAGAGATCTTCGATTTTTTAGGGTTTCTACTAAGACCTGGCCAGAAAAAATGTTCATTTCGTTTTCAATTAAATATAGGTAGGTACCTATGCTGATTTTAATAAATAATATAATTATAGAAACTTATGCAAGAGAATCTCTTTCTGCTTTCATTTTTATATTTTTTTAATTCATGTACTTTATTTTCATTACAACTTAGGATTAAAATATAAATTTTTTTCTTGAAATGATAAACATAAACATCTGTCTACTAAAGGTGTCTTTTATGGATCCTAATATTTTTCTTCATTCTTTTCTTCCTTATCTTTGGATTTATTTGTCTATGCAATATTGAGAGTTTGAATTTTGAATTTCAATTTTCAAAATATAAACAATAACAATGCTTATCACTATGAACATAAAAATGGACATCCATTGAAGTGAGTGTTGTGCTTTAATTTGTTGATTCAATTGATTCAAACTTTCATTGAGTTGATTGATTGTAGCGTGAAGATGTTGTTGACTTTGGGAAACAGATTGTTTCATTCCATTATGACTGATGTCATTAGACAAAACATTTATAATTCCAGCTTCTGTAAAGGTTTCTATTTTCATCAAAAGAATTAAAAGTTATCGGTGTCTAAATAAAGATGATTTTACCTGAACTCATATCTGGATTATTTATTGTTGCAGTTGTAATGCCTGTTGGGATCGCACACTTCAATCTATGTTGTTCAACTTCAGAACTGTTAGCAGATACTTCTTTCCACATATTCGAAACCTCATCGTTAGTTAATGGTTGACCCTCCGGTAACACCATACACATAACAAGGAACTTATCCTTATTTATTGGTTGAATTTGCTGACCCTTTTGAACAACAACATTAATGTTGACTGAAGTCATAGAAGAAAGTGTTCCTGATGAAGGACGAACGCGATATTTATCGGGAGCTGTTGTTTTGACCTAAAAGTTAAGAGATGAAGTGATATTATTGGAAGTCTTTGGAGAGATATTTTCTTACTTTATAAGTTAGAGCCTTCTGGCTGACATTCAGTATGTGAACATTTCCCGTGAGATCGTTGCTGTTGCTTTTTTGGAAGATTATGGTATCAGCCGGAGAAAGTTGCAGCATGTCTTCAACAATCAATAAAAACGGAATCAATAAATCATTTATCTATTATTCCAATTTCTTTTTGTATGTTTTTCTAAATACCAATCTATTAAAATTCTAATCATAAAATTAAAGAGTATCTCACCAGGTCGTGTGTCAAATGACGAAGTTGATAATTCTGATAATGGCGATGGAGATTCGGAGATATTGTTTGCAAAATGCACCTGAAATTTTGAGATAGTATTGATATTTATTTGATGTACATATTTAACAATATATTGAATGTTTTGTCATCGAGCTCCAGATTCAAAATTAATTGAATAATTTCGTAAGACTTAAAACACGGTTTTTCAATATGAATTCGATATGTTTACATTTTTTATACGAATTCATTGAACTAGGATTTTGTGACGTTATTGACGTTGATCCTTAATTGATCCTCAATTGATCCTGAAGTGATAACGCGAGATTTTAAAAGAAAGTTCAAATTATAGAATTTTTATTTTTAGAAGATTTCTAATATCTAAATATTTATATATATATATCTATAGTGAATATCACATTGATTAAAAATACTAAAAGTAAGTATGTTATAGTTACTGTAAAAAAGTACCATCAATCAAAGCTAAATCAGTCATTAAGGCTGAAAAAATTAACACAATATTGTAATCGCAGAAACAGTTGAAATATTGGCACTAATATGTCTGACTGTCATTAAACAATTTCGTGAAGTTTTTTTGATCTTTCTTTAAATGACTTTTCCACGGCATGTTTTAGAATCAACACAAAAATAATACCTACTTTTTGGATTAAATCTGATAAAAAAGAACAAACTAGATTCAAATGAATATTCCTGTTTCCACTGACTAATACTTAATTAATTAAATAATACCTAATATAAGTTTGTCAACAGCTCTATAATGCAATTCAAGTTAAGATTCAAAAACTTCGATTTACGAAAAAATCTTAATGACAAACTGTTTGTATAGATATGCTTTCTCAAATTAATAAGATGATTTTGATCGCTTAAGTTGCGAAAACAATTCCGAAATGATAACTACAATAAAAAAATGTTTTCACCCTTTGCATTCCTTTTTTATAATAAATATAAACTTGGTAAGTTCAGAATAATTTAGAAATAGTTTATTCCTTTTTCCCAATGGATTCCTTATGACTTATGCTTCGAAATGTTTAGGAGAAATTATTAAATTTATCTGAATATATCAATATCTTGATTTGAGATCCTCCTGCTTATAAACTATTGAGAAAAAATGAGAGAATTAGGATCTTCTAAGGGGCGGGCCAGCATAGTGCTTTTTCCTAATCTTGTCACATGGTGCTTCGAAATATACTAATTCTTTTTATAAAATGTGTTCATTTTTAAAGAATTTGCTTTGTTATTCTTTAAAGTTGTTTCTATCTAATACGTTTAGCGCTTTTATTTTTCATTTTTTTTTGGTGTACCCCTTGGTGAAGACTTTCATTGGAATCTTCCAAGTTGTTTTTTTTCTCTCTTTTTTATAAACTCTCTCAATTCATACTTGTAACATTTTATTTTTGAAAAATTCGACATTATAACATGACATGAATGCGGTTTTTATTTATTTTCTCACAGGATTGAAGCATTTCTTGAAATTTTAATATCAGCATTTAGCTACTTAGAAAATCGAAGACTAATTTCATTATTATATTACGACATGCGTGATTTTCTAAATTTTTTTTCTGTTCGCGACGTTAAAAAATCAATTTAATTTTTTAAATTTTATAGTGAACACCACCACCAATAATGCTTCTCAATTGAGAATAACTCATTTAGAAAATGAGTTACGTGAAGCAAAGTTAGAAAACACTCAATTGAGGGGAATAATTTTGCAAGTCCAAAGGCAATTCCTGCTGGACATTCCACTGATTGCCGTTGTCCAGGAGAATCAAGGGAGTGATGTTATATCAGTCTCAGGTGATGCCTCTAAAATTAACTACTTTCATATTTCTTTTATTTTATTCAAAATTATTAAATTTTATTCTTACAGGAGGAGATGACTCAAGATCTCAATTGTCTGTAGAGTTGCCAATAGTCCAAGAAAACATTTTAAATGATTCTCCAATGGACACTTTATCAAACCTGGACGATTTTGAGCCCGCTGCTACAGGGGAATCGGTAAAAACGTTTTTTATTTTTCACACATTTTTATACCTTCTGTTATTACAGTCTCATATTCAACCCATGGGAGAGTCTGTTGTGGCTTCAACTTCTGATTTTCAAAGCATGAGAAGTATGAAAGTATGAAATAATGATTATTTATTTTTATATTATTTTAAAAATTAGATCCAGTAGAAACTTATGACGCATTTGGGGATCAAATGTCTGGCCGTCCCAGTACAGTGTTTCAACCGTATCCAGACACTGATCCAGGAAGCGACTTATCCCAATTTAACGATCAACCAACCACGGATGATTCTGTTAATGAATTCCATTCTCCTCCTACAACGAACAATCACGAGAGTTCTCGCACTGCTGTGGCTCCTCCTGATATTCAATGTATGGGAAGTTTCATTATCAATAATGATTATTTATTTTTATATTATTTTAAACATTAGTAACTGATCGTTCAGCTAGAAGATTCAGGTATTCGGACATACGAAGAACGGAATTGAGCAATCAAAGCAGAAGAAGATCAACACCATATACTCCTCCCCGTCGCCCTCAGAGAAAAAGGGGAGTGACACGGAAGGATTTTGAAGAACTATGCAATTCCATAAGGATGCTACGAAGATCTGTTGATGAGTTGAAAAATAAATTCAGAAGATTTAATCCAAGAACATCACCATCAGATCTTTAAGGTATGATGAGAAATATGTTTGAATTGCCCTGCATAAGTTTCTATTAACAATATATAATAGTTGTTGCAATATACCTCAACTTGTGCATGTTTTGTTTAGTAATGTTTACATTTTTTTAGTTTAGTCCTACAGCTGAATCGGAATCTGAATTTAATAGGATTTATATTGTCATTAAGAAAATAAGCAACCGAAGACCGGTAAGTTGTCTTTTAATAATACTTTTAAACATATTTTCTTAACTAATTAAAAATTGTATAATTTTTTATTTTATCAATATTCAGAAAACATTTACAATGGGACTAATAAACTTCAGAATATCACAAACTTAGACAGTATACAAATTTAAACAGTAAGAATATTCACAAAGAACCACAAGAGATGAAAAATTCTTATCTTCTGATTTGTTTATTCTCTTTAACTAACTTCTTCTCTTCTTAGCGTGCAGTATATCGCAATCACTACACAAACTCTTAATTAATGGATCTGAAATCATGAAAAGGATGCCAGTTCCAATTGGAATGATGAGTGAAGAGGCTTCAGAATCAAGAAATAAATTCTACAAATTAGACCGGATCAACCATGCAAGACGAAACTCGAGAGTGAATAATTTGCATGATGTATTTTGTCGTGCTCTCGAGTCGTCTGATCCATGTTTGTCTCAATATGACATCAGGAGAAGAATTAAAAACATCGAACAGCATGCAATACCAGAAGCTGCGAAGAGTCTCATGATATTCGAAGAGAATATAACATTCATCGATGATATTGACTTCCTCGTATAATTCCAAACATGAAATTTGCTTTGAGTCATGATGAAACTTATTCTATGACATTTGGAAAGGAATACAATAATTGGAAACTGTTGTGAATTAATATTGTTTTTATTAGATGTTAATTCTTTGATAGACAATAATTAATTAAATATTGTAAAGAGATTATTCTCCTTTTATAGAGAATAATCTTATTTAGTATTAGTGATATAATAATATATTCGTATCTAGGATATTATAAATCCAACACGTCCCCTCGAATATATTATTATATTTAAAAATATTTAATTTTGTTTCATAGACTTGATCATAATCTTGACCATATTTCTGTGAGATAATACCATTTTGCTGAATATGAAGTTTTCATTTTTGTTAGATTTTTGAACCTCATCATCATCATCATCATTCTTTTGAATTAAATCTCTTGAATAAAATCTGAGAAAGTTAATTCCTATCAGATTTTGAAAAGTTTAAATTCCAATAAAATCTGAGAAAATTAATTCCTATCAGATATGGAAAGTGATTAAAATCTGAGAAAATTAATTCATATCAAATTTTGAAAAGTTTAAATTCCAATAAAATCTGAGAAAATTAATTCCTATCAGATATGGAAACTGATTAAAATCTGAGAAAATTAATTCGTATCAGATTTAGAAAAAGGATTTGATTCTTTGAGCACCCGTTGTCAGTTCATCATCATTTGAATGTTTGACCGAGTTTGCATATGTAATTAATATTCGTCCCCTTGAGTTGTAATTAATTAAAATCCGAGAAAGTTGATTCGTATCAGATTTTTGTATTTCTTGAATCGACCTGTGATTTGGCCTTTTCGGAGTTATCATAGTGTCCTGAGATTTGAGTAAATTTGTTGAAATCTAAGAAATTTATTTCTTATAAAATTTCCAAATTTGTTGAAATCTAAGAAAATAAATTCTTATAAAATTTCCAAATTTTAAATTCAAATTTGTTGAAATCTAAGTAAATAAATTCTTATAAAATTTCCAAATTCTAAAATTTCCGAATTTGTTGAAATCTAAGAAATTCATTTCTTATAAAATTTCCAAATTTTTAAATTCCAATAAAGTCTGAGAAATTTAATTCGTATCAGATATGGAAAAAGTTTTAAAAGACTCAAAGTTCTTTGAGAAAGTAAATTCTTTTCAAAGCTTATTTTGTCCAGTTTCAATTCAAAAAATTAAATAAACGGGAACTCTTCAAATTTTGTTTGTGTAGCTTCTTTAAATTCTTAAATTTTGATTCAGACCAGATTTCTTTTATGTTTTGAGAAATTAAATTCATATCAAAACTCTTAATAAATTGGTGAAACTATTTTGTCGTTTAAGAATTTTGAATCCACTTGAACATTTTTCACAGGTTACGCAGTTATAATATACTTAATTTGTTTGTCCTTCATTCAGAGAAATTCTTCTTTTGTAATGTAGAGTTTTTGTTGCATTGTCTTTGACATTTAACTCTGCATGTCCAATTCCAAATTTGAGAAGAACAAAGATTTAATTCGAGAACTTTCATTCATACTAAATTTGCGATTGACATCCAAGAAATTTGAGGTTTAATATGGAAAATTAACTTTGAGAAATTGAATTCGTATCAGAGTTTTCATCGCTTTTTTATTTTTGAGAATTTTTGTTCTAGACGAATTTAATTAAACTTATTGCGCACTTTAGAATTTTAATTTATAAGCGTAATGATGGCATTTCTAATCTGGGCCCATAACCTGTTGTGAATTAATATTGTTTTTATTAGATGTTAAGTCTTTGATAGACAATAATTAATTAAATATTGTAAAGAGATTATTCTCCTTTTATAGAGAATAATCTTATTTAGTATTAGTGATATAATAATATATTCGTATCTAGGATATTATATATCCAACAGAAACAGCTTGTGATTGGTGAAGAAGTTGACGATGATTCTTCAAAGACATTCTACTGTGGTGGATCAGTGACGTCCATTGACTGGGCACCAACAAATCATGAGAAGAATTTCTTAGCTGTTGCTGTTAACAACATTGAAATTGGAATTAAATTGGGTTTAATTGAACCATTAACATCATGTGTTCAACTTTAAAAGCTTGAAAGTCTCCGAAACGAAGAGTAAGAATTAACATAAACAAATGAAATACTTTCAATGTAATTTATTTCTACTTTTTCTTCCTTTAACATTAGTGCAAAATAAAACATCAGAAGAAATATCGGCAAACACCTTTGGATCATCTCAATGAAGTTCAAATTAATCAAGTCTGTAATGTTTTAAGAAGAATTTTTCGTGAGTGGAAATATCAACTGAAAATGTGCTTGAATATCTGAGATAGAACTCAATTTTAAAAATTCTGCTGTAATGCTAAACACGATAAGAAACAAAAGCTTCGTTTTGATAAATTTGTGCTGCTAATAAAAGTTGAACATTTTTCCTTTTTTTATTTTAAATTTTCAAAAAGAACATTTTCAGATAAAATAATTTTAATCAGAAGCTTCCATGTCTTTATCAGAACCTGTATCATCATAATCTTCCCCATTTGAATCAGATGCTTCGATAATTTCCATCATTATAGCTTCTTTACTTTTGCAGTCAGATTTCTTTGATGTTTTGTTGTTCTTGAGATTGAGTTTATCTTTCGCTTTCATTGGTTTTCTCAGAAACGATTTTTTATCGGATTCCGGCATTTTGATAGCTTCAAAACCATCTTTTTTTGTATAATAACACTCGATGTTAACTTTAAATGTCGCAAGTGGTCGTTCAACTAACTTGAGAATCTTTGCTTGTTCAGGTGTCAATGTTTGTCCTTTTTCGCAAATTGTGTAGTCGTTCATGAGTGTCACAATACCACGATCAAGTTTTGTTGGCATTCCAGGTCTACGCAAATGTGGCTCGATGGCATGTGAGAAGTCGGGGAGTGGACCTTCCGGAAGAACAACAGTTTCAATTGCTTCGAAGCCACTTCGAGCAAATTTCTCAGCTGAATAATTTTTAAACCAATCAACAACTGTTTCTTTGTCGTTAGGTGTGAAAAGCAATCATCAGCAATCACAGCAATTCTCAATCCATGCTTCATTACAGATATTTTCCCAAAAAAAATCTGGAATCGTTCCACTCGTTTGTAATAAATTTTAATGTAGATTTTCGCATGTTTTCAACTGAGAAGAGAAAGCGTTGTTAGAAAGTTTCACTGCAGTAATGTTGAAATGTTTCCATACAATTCATTTGAAGTTCATCAGCTGTTGTGTAAATAAATTTTATTAAATAATTTAAATGATTTAAATGGTCTTGTATTAACTTTGTTTCTTACCTCTGTTTTGATATTTTCCACAGCATTCCCAACATCAGCTTCTGAGTAGGAGTTGAAATACTTTCCTCGGGCAGTTTTTCCTTCTTCTTTATTCATATTTTCACTTTTACGGAGGCCCCACCTTGGTGAGGGTCACCGTATTGTATTCGACATTTTTTTTTGAAAAATTTTTTTTGCTTAAATATGCTTAAAGTAGCATGAAACGTCGAGAAAAGTGGAAAAAATGGACTTCCATTTTTCCGTCACCTTTAAACCCTGTCTGTCTGTATGTATGTATGTATGTAACTTTTTTTTTGTTAACTTTTCTGAGAATTCTTATCAAGAATTTTTCTGAGAATTCTTATCAGGAATTTTTCTGAGAATTCTTTCTAGAGTATTTCCGAGAATTCTTTTGAATAGGACGATCGGTGCGCGTGTGGGAGAGTGAGTGGAAGACCAAGGACAGTCGGAAGGTCCATGGACAGTCGGAAGGTCCATGGACAGTCGGAAGGTCCATGGACAGTCGGAAAGTCCATGGACAGTCGGAAGGGCCNTCTGTATGTCTGTCTGTATGTCTGTCTGTAACTTTTTTTTTGTTAACTTTTCTGAGAATTCTTATCAGGAATTTTTCTGAGAATTCTTATCAGGAATTTTTCTGAGAATTCTTTCTAGAGTATTTCCGAGAATTCTTTTGAATAGGACGATCGGTGCGCGTGTGGGAGAGTGAGTGGAAGACCAAGGACAGTCGGAAGGTCCATGGACAGTCGGAAGGTCCATGGACAGTCGGAATGTCCATGGACAGTCGGAAGGTCCATGGACAGTCGGAAGGTCCATGGACAGGCGGAAGGTCCATGGACAGTCGGAAGGTCCATGGACAGTCGGAAGGTCCATGGACAGTCGGAAGGTCCATTGAGTAGCAAGGTCCATTGAGTAGCAAAGTCCATCGAGTAGCAAAGTCCATCGAGTAGCAAAGTCCATCGAGTAGCAAAGTCCATTGAGTAGCAAAGTCCATTGAGTAGCAAAGTCTATTAAGTAGCAAAGTCCATTGAGTAGCAAAGTCCATCGAGTAGCAAAGTCCATCGAGTAGCAAAGTCCATCGAGTAGCGAGGTCCATCGAGTAGCAAAGTCCATTGAGTAGCAAAGTCCATCGAGTAGCGGGGTCCATTGAGTAGCAAAGTCCATCGAGTAGCAAAGTCCATTGAGTGGCAAAGTCCATCGAGTAGCGAGGTCCATCGAGTAGCAAAGTCCATTGAGTAGCAAAGTCCATCGAGTAGCGAGGTCCATTAAGTAGCAAAGTCCATCGAGTAGCAAAGTCAATCGAGTAGCAAGGAGTGTGAGAGAGAGAGAGAGAGTGAGAGAGAGAGAGACAGTCGGAAGGTCCATTGAGTAGCAAAGTCAATCGAGTAGCAAGGAGTGTGAGAGAGAGAGAGAGAGTGAGAGAGAGAGAGACAGTCGGAAGGTCCATGGACAGTCGGAAGGTCCATGAACAGTCGGAAGGTCCATGGACAGTCGGAAGGTCCATGGACAGTCGGAAGGGCCATGGACAGTCGGAAGGTCCATGGACAGTCGGAAGGTCCATGGACAGTCGGAAGGTCCATGGACAGTCGGAAGGTCCATTGAGTAGCAAGGTCCATTGAGTAGCAAAGTCCATCGAGTAGCAAGGTCCATTGAGTAGCAAAGTCCATCGAGTAGCGGGGTCCATTGAGTAGCAAAGTCCATCGAGTAGCAAAGTCCATCGAGTAGCAAAGTCCATTGAGTAGCAAAGTCCATTGAGTAGCAAAGTCTATTAAGTAGCAAAGTCCATTGAGTAGCAAAGTCAATCGAGTAGCAAGGAGTGTGAGAGAGAGAGAGAGAGTGAGAGAGAGAGAGACAGTCGGAAGGTCCATGGACAGTCGGAAGGTCCATGAACAGTCGGAAGGTCCATGAACAGTCGGAAGGTCCATGAACAGTCGGAAGGTCTATGAACAGTCGGAAGGTCCATGGACAGTCGGAAGGTTACAGAGCGAAAAATGCAAGTATAATACCATTTTGGAAACCCACACTCTTCATGAATCTATTGAAACAGATTTCAACGAAATTCATTAAGGAACTTGTTCAAAAATACAATTTAAAAAAACATGTAATTTTCTTCTCATGGCGTGAGTTCTCTCTAAATTTAAAGAATTTGATCTAAGAAGATGATTTTCAGGACATCAACTTTCTTTATTATTTTTTAACAGCATTATAATCAAATATTGAGAGCTTCCAAAACCACTTAAAACATCTTCTCAAACCGCCGCTATGTACCTAAAAGTGCTGGCTGAAAATCACATACATGAATATGAGCAATCATTGATAAAACCGCCTATTTTCATTTGTGTTATTTTATGATTGAAATTATGATTGAATAAAATTGAAGTACACATTGTTCCATTTTTCATAGACTTTTGATCTGCAAAAACATATTTTATTAATTTTTTCAGGAAATCGGAAAACATGTTCAAATGAGTTTTCCTGAGAATTGAGATGAAAACATGCATAAGTTAACTTAACATATTGATAAGCTTCAATTCTGTATACTACGTTTTTCCGGATATGCTCTGGATGAGATGGAATAACACTTCAAAATTGAAAAATATATTTTTCATGTTTTATCTTGAATTTCCCTGAGATTGGCTTCATAGCAAGGTAAATCCTAGAAGGAGCTTAATATGCAAAATCTGTTTTTTCAGAATTCACTATTTTGATTTTCTGAAAAGTTCATATGAAGACAGTTTTCAATATTTCTTAAAATTAAAAAGCTATAGCCATTAAGAAATTGATATATTGTCGAAAAAAGTTTTGCTGAGAATTGAATATTACCTTATGGGTTTTATGGAAAAATTATGTTTAAATCTAATTATATTGATATCTTTTACGAATCATATAATATGTGTGAGATCCTCGTCTAGAAAATTTAAAGAATATAGTTCTTCTCAAGATACACCTCTCTCATTTCCTTATCAAGTCATAGAATTAAATTACATTCATTTTCATGCTATGTATGAACTCTCATTAATTTTATTTCATTCTCGCGATTTTTTCTGACGAACAAGGTACATATAATAATCAAGTAATATAAAAAAATCACAAAATATGGTTAAAATAATGTAATGAATAAGGTTTTCATAGGAAAAAAGGTGTATAAGTTCATTCCAATATGAAGTTTGCAGAGCACTTATCAAGTCATATCACAAGTGAATGGCGGTAAGAATTGATTGAAAGAAACAAATATAAAACTATTTTGAACTGTTTTTTTTCTTGGGTAGCAAGCAGTACATTAATTATGAGGTAATTTCATAAAATAAAAGATACTTTTACTTTAGGCTAGTTTAAAATTAGAGTTACACCATTATTAATTATTCTAATAAGAAAAATTCATGGAAGCCATATTTACAAAATTTTCAATTTATCAAAATATTTTTAATTTGTAAATAACATTTCCAACGCATGCGCCTTTTCATATATCTTAACAAAATGCAAAAATATCATTATCTGGATACTTAAATTCTTGTAACCCTTTCTCAAGGAAATGAAGCAAATGCTTTATCAAGCTGTCGAAGCATCACCATCTGCCGAACTTGCTGAACCAGAAATTCTTTCAAGATATTTCGCAAAATTTGACGAAAGTTTTTTCCATTTTTGTGATAACGAACTCACAAAAATAAATACATTTTACGCTGAAAAACTTGCAGAAGCTACAAGAAAATATGCTTCGCTTAAGGCTGAGCTATCCGAAGTTCAAAATCAAAATGACGGAGTACACTCAGGACATCATTCTTCAACAGAAAAGAGTTTATTACGTAAAAAGAAAGACACAAGAAAGATACAGGAACTGAAACTTGCATTCTCCGAGTTTTACCTTAGTCTCGTTCTTTTGCAAAATTATCAAAATCTTAACTTCACTGGCTTCAGAAAAATCCTCAAAAAGCATGATAAAATTTTGCAGTCAGACTGTGGTGCACGTTGGCGACAAGATAAAGTTGATGTGGCTCATTTTTATACAAACAAAGATATTGATCGATTAATTAATGATACTGAAAATGTCGTAACCAAAGAAATTGAATCAGGAGATAGACAGAAAGCCATGAAAAGACTAAGAGTTCCTCCACTTGCTGAAAGACAAAGTCCATGGACGACATTTAAAGTGGGATTCTTTTCAGGATCATTTATGATATTACTCATAGCTATCATCATCTCCATTCAATATGTTCAACCAAATGTTGATTCATACAAAGCTGCATTAAAGCTTTATCGCGCTCCTTTCTTGATTATTCAATTTATGTTTCTTTTGGGAATCAATGTATATGGCTGGAGAAGCTGTGGTGTTAATCACGTATTAATATTTGAGCTTGATCCTCGCAATCATCTCTCAGAACAACACATCATAGAACTTGCAGCAACTTTTGCCGTTCTTTCATGTATTTCATTATTGTGTTTCATATATAGTGATGCTCTTGGTATACCACCTTTAATAAACCCACTTTTACTTTACATCTTCATGGCCGTGATTTTGTTCAATCCAACGAAAACCTTTCGACATGACGCACGTTTTTGGACGATCAAAATTTTTGGAAGAGTCTTTTGTGCACCATTTTTTTATGTGAACTTTGCAGACTTTTGGATTGCCGATCAATTAAACAGTATGGTACCAATTTTTCTGGATCTTCAATATTTTGTTTGTTTCTACTCTACTACATTTCAAAGTAACTATAAATCCATTTCAATCTTGAATCAATTTTTTGCGATTATTTAAAAATATTAGCAGATGCTCAACAATGTGATCAATCGATCTTTATAAGAATGTTAGTCGCTTTACTACCAGCTTATTTTCGATTTGCACAATGTTTACGTCGGTATAGAGATACGAAAGAATCTTTTCCACATCTCGTAAATGCAGGTTAATAGAATTTAAATTCAGACTAAGATATTATAACTCTGTAAATGTTTTTTTGTTATTTTATAGTAAAATATGGATCATCGTTTTTCGTTGTCATCTTCTCTTCAATCACTTATGCAACCTCTGAGAAATATTCAAGATCTTTGGAAAATCCTTTCTTTTACTTGTGGATTATTTCTGCTATAGTTTCATCTTTTTATGCTTATGGATGGGATATATTCATGGATTGGGGCCTGATGTCATTAGAAAGCGAAAATAAATTACTAAGAGATGAAATTGTTTATTCAACAACGGTAATTAGTTTGAGATTAAATTAATAATATTTATATATGTTCGATGATTTTTTCAATTTATAGTGGTTCTATTACTTTGCTATTGTTGAAGATTTCATCCTTCGCTTTGGCTGGACGTTGTCGATGTCATTAATTGGTAATTATTGAGTTAGAAGTACATTATTCAATACTTATCAGATGTAAATTATTTTGTTGAATAATTATAAAATTGTATGAAAACCTAATTTATTTTTTTTATAATTTTATCTTGCTTTCTTTTTCTATTGCCATCTAGAATCGGGATATATAGACTCAGATATCATATTTACAATATTGGCTCCACTAGAAATATTCCGTAGATTCATATGGAATTTCTTTCGCCTTGAGAACGAACATCTGAACAACTGTGGAAATTTCAGAGCAGTACGAGATATTTCAGTAGCACCAATTTCTGGATTATCGGAAGAAACTGAAATTGTAAGACTTATGGATGAAGAAGATGGAATCATACACAGACGCACGAGAAAAGGCCCTAAAAAGAAGGAGAACCGTTTGTTTCTTAACGGCAGAGCAGAATCCCTAGATGACTTAGATGTAACATAAACATATAAAAACTCATATTCTAGACAATTTATTAGTTTTTAAGAATCTTTTTTTTTTAATTCCATGAAGAGAATATAGATTATATGGAGAATGAATAAAAAAATAAATAAATAAATGATGTACTTTGTCCACGAAAAGATAATGTTTTCTTAATTTTTAGATAACTAAATCAGGTTTATAATCAGTCTGAGGTATTGTTGATTCTCTAAAATCTGTTGTCTGTTTGGTTTTTGAACTTTCCTTGAAGTAATATTTTCCTTGAGAATAGAACCTGGAATGAAGATTCGGAAAAATCACGAGTTCAAATAAAGAGAAAATATTCATCAAAGTCAACCCCACCATCCTAAAATATTTCTCCTTCCTTTTATAAACATGCTAAAGCTTCTGATCAGGAATTTTCCACATTTTCCAAGAAGCTGATATTTTCAACCCCTCCAAAACCAATGGAAATGTGAATGAAAACATTGACTTTCCAGATAGAATTCTTTTATGTTTTCTCAACATGATTCAAATTATTGTTTCAGTTTTGTTACAGACACCGGTTAACAAGTTCATAATTTTTGAAAAAAAAAATTTTAACTAAAATCTTCGAATCAGAACTGAATGTTTGTCTAAAATATATAAAATTTAATTCCGAAGATGTAAACAAGAAACAAGAGAGTAGGGAACGGGAAATAAAAAATAAGTGTTTGATTCTAAAGCTTGCAAAGTAAAAATAAAAATACTAAAACCAATAAAAAAACCACCGATAAAATGACAATTATAAAATCGTGCTGTTTCTGGAAATCTTTAAGAAAAGGAAGTTTTGCAAGTGCTTTTTATACATTTGTGAGTTAGTTTTATTATGTTCGATATATCGTTTTAAGATTATACATATAGGTTTGAAGAAACATGAATGTTATTATTCACAGATATATTTTTCTACATCATGCGTGTCAATATCACTTTACCTTTACGAAGAACGAGAATTTTTGACAGGGAAAATTGATAAACCTGCAAGTAAAAGTTTTCTTGGCACCTCTTCTTGTGAGTAAATTAAACAAATATCTGGATACTTAATCACGAAATTTCTTAATTCTGACGATTTTAAGTGAATGTTGATTAAGCTCCTAAAATGCATTCGAATGGATTGCAAATGAAAGAATCCAAATCAACATTTTTTTCCTTTTCAAAGTGAAAGATATTAAACAGTTTTATTAAATTAAAAAATTATAAAATAAAGCAGTGGATATTAGAATACCTAAATAATTGAATTCTTAATATCATTTATTTGTAATTTAACAGCTAACGTGCTGTTCAGCATGTTATGTCTTGGATGCGCTATATTGGGATCTCTATCATCAATTCTTGTCTTCATTGGATTAAAGAAGAATCAAAGAGAATTTCTTGTTCCTTGGATAGTAGTGATGTCTTCAGATATATTCATCGCAGTTTTCCATTTCATTTTCGTCATGACGTTTGGAAATTTGAAATTCGATCCTTTAACCGGCACACTATTTACAGTTGATTTTTTCATATTAAGTTTGAATGTAAGAAACAATAAATAAACATAACTTTAATAATATTTACAGAAAATTCATATTTAAATCTTTTCTTATTTGCATCTATCCTTTAGATGTACTGTTTAGCTTGTGTCATTTCTCAATACCAAGAATATAAAGCTGATCGTAGGCTCGCAAGTAATCACTATAATGCAGTGAGTGTTCATATTTAAAATATTTAGTAACTTCTTGAACTTTAAATATTTTTTGTGTTTTATAACATCAGGGAAACGATATTTCAACACTGAATAGAGAACAAAAATCGTGCATCGTGTTACAAGGCTCAACTCCGAGTGCGTTAAATAATCAACAAACAAATATAGTAGTCATAAAGGAGTTGCAGAAAATGGGAAATCAAAGTTTGTTCCTTTAATTTTTTTTAATTTATTAGCTGATTAGATTATGTTTAAATTTTAATTTTTTTACATTAGTGTCTAATATATAAAATGAATTAAGTTAAAAAAATTTGGGTGCTTTGTTAAAAATATTTTGGAATTTGTTTTCCTCTTCTAACAGATGTTGGATTTAAATCACCATTTCAACGAAGGAAACCAAACGATAGAAATTTATTCAGAAAACAAGTTCAGTTTACAGATGATATGAAACGTGAAGGAACATTTGAAACTATAAAGAATTGTGAACATTCGGATATGGGAAACCAGGATTTTTCAATTCTCTAAGTTTCAAACCAAATGTGTTTGAGGAAATCAACAATTAATCCATGATAATTGTCTCTCGGTTTCCATTCGAAAAGACATTAAAAAAAGCAGAAATATTATATATCTATATAAATTTATTTCAATTTTCAACATGAATTATTGATATTAATATTTATACATACTATTTCTAATAACAATTTTTATTGTTAAATGTTTTAAAATAATATGCTTTGTTCTTCTCCATTTGAAAATTGAAAATTAAAAAAAAAATCATTTTGTATAAAAAAAGAAAGTACAAATTGTAACTACCTACTTAGGTAGGTATTATTAAGAAGAAAAGAATCCGTTTTGATAAATTATGTTCATAATTATCATGACTAACCATAGTGAATTAAAAGGTTGGTTGACCAATATTATGACTGCAAGATTTTAAGAAAAAGTTATATGTATTAAACTACCTATCGAAACATTATAACCAGAGACATAATGACTTAACTTGAAGTGGAATATGTAAAATCTAAATGTTTCAAATAATTCTTGATTAGATATGATTATTTTCTTATTTTCTGTCCGGAATTTATTGAATATTCATTTTATGTTAACCTAACATGCTTAATTTATATTTTTAATATGAGATCGAAAACTTCTTAATAGGTACCATTCTTAAGTCAGATCCCCCTTGAAGTATGCTAATATTTATAAAGAATCGCCACATAAATTACTAAATGCCTACGTTTATCTAATTCTTCAGAAGCAGTCATTACTTTTGATCTGTTCACTAACATTACAAAAAAAAAGAATTACAATAAGATATTAACTTGGTGTGTTATTATTTTTTTACATATCTCAAAACTTAACTTCAATTTATCTATTATGAGCAGAATTGACTTGAAAATACAATTCTTGTCAATTAAAAGTCAACTCTTTCAATGAGTCATATCAAAATAAAAATCCAAATTAGGTGTGTTCTATGATAGAATTAATGAACATTTTTGGAATATGAGAAAGGTAATTATAAGCATTTGTAAAGATATGATTGAATGAGTTCATCAATTCACATCAGATTTTCTAATTAATTATTTTGTGTATAAATGAGTTTGTAATTCTATTTATCTGTGATAAGAAGAGTTTTATTAAAAATTGCAATAAATATTTTTGCACAGAAAATTTCAGAATTTTCACAAAACATTTAATATTTTAAACCGTGTTCAAAATTAAGAAAAGAAAGAAATAAAAGTATTCAATTACAGACTTCCTTCGAGAGAAATGAGGCGTAAGTATTTTCAAATTTCATTAGGAAAATTTTCACATGTCTGAAAAAATCCTTTAATAGGAATAATGGAAATAACATTAATGAAATTATTAAAATCATGTGTAGAACAACCTTAAGTTTGTTCTTAATTTTTATTGTTCTCTGCCATACAAAAAATGTTGACGTTCTATTTGGGCTAATAAGAGCCTGTATGAATAAAGTAATAATAATAATTATAACAAATTTAAACATTTAACGTTGAGAAAATATTCAAATTTTATTCGAAATTCGAATTCCGATCAAAAATTCTATACAGTTTGAAGTCTGTTTTCTATACATGCATTTATAAATACAACCTGTATCTACTTTAAAATAAAGAAACATTCAATTGAATCTAGTTTACTCTATATGCCTGATGAAATTCTAGATATATTCAAGTTATTACATGTTCTTTTCTTTTAACATCATGTTCATTTATACCCTAAGGGATCTCTACTGTATTTTTTTTCTTCATTTTAATGAACAACTTAAAACTTTTAATTTCACATTAAATGTACAGTGATAGAAAAGATACAGAAATGTCAGATACACAAAATGAAATTTTTAAATGCATTTCAAATGGCAATATAATAGAATTGAAATCAAAACTTGCATCTCATAATGGAAGCATTGATTTCACGGACGAAAATGGTTAGTATTGAACGAAGTTTATCAAAAGACAAATTTCAATAAAGTTATAAATATACTTTATGAAGGTATGACACCACTTCAACACTCTGCTTATAAAGGTAGTAAGGAGATTGTTCAATTATTGTTGGATCTGGTAAGTCAATCATTAAGTATTGCTACGATAGATAGGATAAAAAGTTTCCATGTTTTTCTTTTTCTTATATTGAAGGGAGCTGATGTAAATTCATCCAAACATGAATTTCATTATACTGCACTTCACTTCGCTGCATTGTCGGGTGATCATGATGTTTGTCTCCTATTGTTATCTGCTGGTGCAAATCCTAATGCTATAAATTCCGTTGGAAGAACTCCTGCACAGATGGGTGCTTTCGTCTCTAATCACAAGGCGGTTTCAACTATCAATAACTTCGTATCAATACAGGAAATTGAATATTATACGAAAATTCATGGTCAAGAAACTGAACCATCTCTACCGCCAGTACTCCTTGACTCGTTCCATAAATTTGTCATTTATCCAAATATTCATCCTGTCAGAATTTGTCTAAACCTTCAAAAATTTGGAATTCCATCTAAACATTATGTGACGATAAAAAAAATTCTGCAGAAGATGACAGAGCGAGAAATGAATCGAAATAAGGAAATCAATGAAATAATGGCATTCAAATACCACTATTTGAGTTGGATTATCAAAGAAATTATTGCATGTCATGAGCATTTCGAAATAAGAAATCGATCGAAAGCTGTTGCACAAAATACTAAATCGGAATATTTAGAAATGTTTGTCAAAAGGATATTGAAACCAAACAAAGAAGGACAGCTAGACTATGTAGAGATAATTATCCGTGAATGTGTACGAGATTTTGAATATAGGGATTGCACAATTTTTCAACAAATCGTTAGACAACTTGCTAGCAAAGATACCAATATAACTGCACTTGATGTTATTAAACAATCATTAAATGGACAAAGAAGTTTCCAGGACGAATATGCTTTTTGTAAGACTTGTGGCGAAGAAAAACCCGATAAAAAATGTTCGAAATGTAAACAGGTTCAATATTGTGACAGAGAATGTCAACGTCTTCATTGGTGGATGCATAAGAAAGAGTGTGCAAGGTTGAGCTTAACAGTACCATTAGAAACTGCTTCATCAAATTCAAAAAGTGAAATTGATCAAACTGAAATAAGTTCTAAGCTTCAAAAACTCATGGTTGGGTAGAATTTCACTTGAATTTGATCCTAAAATTAAAATTAGGTATATGTATAAGTACATATAAAATTGTATTTGATTCTGCTATAATTCATGCGCATCTGTAAATGATCAATTAATATAGCAAGATTATCCAAAATTATAAAAGAATGTGTTGATGAAACTTTGTCAATAAAATTAACTATTTCAAAACATTCAACATAAATCATATAGATAAAAAACCATCAGAAGTTGAAGAATTCGCGAATTCTGTTAGAACTTAAAATTAAATGAAGTTTTGTGTATGAAAAGAAAAATTAATAAATATTTAGATTAGATGTCAAGGTAGTCGACTTTAATTTTTTATTAGGGCATGTGCTTCCTAACATTTTCCAAATGGAATATCAGATACATTTTTTTAAAAAATTTAGTTTCTCTAAATAGATAATAAAGATCTTTCAAAATGCTATCAAAATGTATCCTTATTTCAAATTTTTTTCCTGAAGTCGATTATTGTTTTCATTAGGTAATAGTATTCCTTTTTCATAAATGTCTACAGGAGTTGTGCTATAGTTTTTATTGACTTTCAACGTCGCAATACGTCCACTAAAGTAATCCTCAATTTCTTGGAGAGTTCTTCCTTTTGTTTCGGGTAAGTAGAAATAAAAAAATATTCCTCCTAAAAAAATTTTATTTGTCATGCGAAAATTTTCATTAAGAGTTAAGAAATTTTTTTACCAACAAACGAAATGCATCCATAAAGAATAAAGACTCCATGTCTCTCTATCAAATGAGTCATAAAGGGGTATGTTTTGACAACAATAAATACAAAACAATGAGCAGCACATGTTGTCATTCCTCCTACGATGCCACGTATTTTCATTGGGTAAAGCTCACCGATCATCACCCAAGGAACAACCAAGAAACCAAGTGTACAGGTTATCATAAATATAAATATACATGCTACTGGTATCCATGTATGAACTATGGTAGAAAATATATTCAAATAATTTCAAAATTAATTCTTCCCTCATTTAGAATTTAGACCACTTAGTGTACCTGGCGCAATATTTTGTGCATCCCATATTGCTTTGTAGCGCATGTAAATACCAAGGCCGATCATTGTTATGCCACAACCAAATCCAGAAATAAACGAAAGAGGTCGTCTTCCGCTTCGGCGGAGAAGTATGCAGGCAAGAATCGTAAATGTAAAACGCAAGGCACCAAGAATAACAGTACATGTATATTTATCTAAATTGGTACCAGAATCTTGAAAAATTTCCACAGCATAGAAAGTTATAGTGTTGACTCCCGAAAACTGATAAAGCATAAAATAAATAAAAAGAATTCCAAACGGTTTTAGACAGGATGGTGCTAGAAGGGATTGTAAAATTTCCTTTGCTGATGTTTTACTTAAATAAGATAAGAGAATTAAAAAAATAATGCTAATTTAATAACTTGTTAATTTCATTTGAGCATTTACTTCTTTGAATTAATTTTCTTAGCAAATTCTTCAAGTTGATGTATTTCCCGTTCTACATTATAGGAACTTCCTCTGAGTTTTGCTAAGCTCTGTGCAGCTTTTTGTGGTTGTTGATGTGATACAAGATAATTTGGTGTTTCGGGGACTAAAAGCATCCCAATTAAAGCAATAAGGGGAACAACACTTGAAACTAATGAAAGAGTTTGCCAAGAAAGTAAAGCCCCCATGGAATATTGAAATAATACTCCAAAACTTAGTCCAACAGAAGAAAGGGCTGTCAGCATTCCTCTCAGATGCGGTTGAGTAACTTCTGATGTATATATACGAGCTGGTGCACCAACCATTCCTGATCCAAGACCAGTAAGTAATCTACCAGTGTAAATCATTTTTACTCCGGAAGCTGTGTAATCAAAGTATTAGAAAGTTTTTCGATTGATAACTAAATATTTTATGAGTGTAAAACGTGTTTAAGATATTGAAAAACTTTTGTTGAACACACAAAATATGTTTGACTTAATTTTGCTTTTTCGACAAAGTATGATTTTATATATCTATTCGTTCTCCACTTACAGATGTCAGAACAAATAAGCTCAAAGCCAAACCATATTTAAGTTATGTTTTAAGTTCCACCTACCACCAAAAATGTTTCTGACGAATTCTAAGTGCGATGTAAAGATAAACATCCATCCGATAATCATTGGAATTTCAGTGAAAATTAACGTCTTTTTACGTCCAATATTGTCCATAAGATATCCACCCAAGATACAACCAAAAGGTGTTGAAAGTGAAGATAAAGATGCTGAAATATAAAATATTGAATCTTGTATAGAAACATTATTAGATCATTAAATATCACTCCTTAATTAATTGCCGTAAAAATCATTTCCCCATTATTATTATTGAAAATTAAACATATCAAATCCATAAAATATAAACCTCTTCAAAACAAAAGGTTTAACTAATTCAAATACACAGAAACCGACACACAATCGCTTCAAAACAATTATCAATTGAAAAAAAAAGTAATTAAAAGACGAGGCGATACTTGAGATAAGAAAGTTATCAATAAGCTATTAAACTGAAATCATCAGCAGTAAAAGAACGTTTAAAAATGGTTTATAAAATTAAATGTGGATAGATAACATAGTGTTCGGCTATATTTGGAAAATCGAATTTGTCCCTATTTTTGCGAGATAAAACACTAATGAAGAAAACTATGTATCTATAAAAGCTGACTTATTCTAAATATTAATTAAATTCCTCACCAATCCAAGATGCTTGACTTTCATCTATAGGAATAGAAGAATTTTTTGATTGCAGCTGTGGAATGACTACAGCTGAAAAGCCAAAAATCAATCCTGTATTCACTGGTCCAATATTAGCAATAAAAGCTGCAACCACTTGTCTAAAAGCTTTTCCACGTTCATTTTTAATATTCTGTTTCTCAGCATCTGTTGCTGATAGTGTTACTGCCATATTTTTTGAGACTATGTTGGGTTTAATATCATTTTTATTTCCTATTAAAAATGTGTTGCTTTCCCTTTAAAACAATTATGTAGATATTTTATTAATATATTATAAGTAAATAACTAAAATTTCGATTCATATGAGAAATAAACAGATCTTTAATTCATATTATTTTTAGATTAAATGAGAAAACAAAATTTGTAAAAATAGTGAAAATATCGACTATACTACTTATTAGATGAGTATTAAAGTAAAACTTACTCAGTCGTCATTATTAAGAATTTATTTCTAAAGTTGTTTTATTCTTAAAATGTTTCAAGATTCTTTGTAGCACCTTTCTATATTTTGCATATTAATTAAAGAAGCATTTCTACTGTAAAAAATATCTTTTGTATCTGAGAGTGTTTCTTCAAATCACTAAAATATAAAACGAAAGATTTTAAGGACTGAACGTAAAGTAAACGTCTTTCGTTCGCTTTACAATGAACACTGAATTACTTTTAAAGATTATAGATAGGTAGAATGAAAAAATGAATGGTGTTCAAATATGTGTAAAATACTTTTTATGCAAGTAGAAGATATTAATTTAGAATTGTAAACACTTGTAGTTTAAGCTTTTGCTTGATCGTATTTGTTTGTAAAATTTATTTAACGATTACCTATTTCTTCAAAAGATTAGACAAATATTCTCGATATAGTCAATGTATTTTACGTTGATCTTTGTGTTTTATTTTTCAAAAAAAAAGGATTAGTGAATATTAGTAGAAAAAAGCTACGCACAACCTCCATAGCAACATTTGATTAAGATTCTGTACAATGTTTGTTTGGATATGATTTTCTTCATGTTTGAACAAAAAAATATGACATTAATAAAAGTTATTTACTTAGTAGCAGCTGATCGTCAAATGATGTTTCTCATGATCCTTGAGGTGCTGTTTTCAAAAGACAAATTTTTAAATGTGAAAGTTTCTTCTTACTCTCCTTGTAAGAAAGTAAGAAAGTGCGTAACTGAAATGATATACTATAAATACTTATTTACTAAATAGTAATCATTGCTTTCGTGAAAAAATCGATCAGGTGTGCGATTGCCTCAAATTAGTGTTTTTCTATAAAATAGATCTATAAAAATATGAGACTAAAAGTACCCTATTAGGTTTTCAGTCTTTTTAACGCAACAATGAAAATCTGGAATATTGTTTATTTACATTTGCAATTTTTATACTTTTGTGAATTGATTTTGATTGAAGTTATTGACGAAATAAGATTCAGATTTAGTATTTGATATAATCGTAGGTGATAACCAGCATGTTTACTTAAAATATTTCTTCACATTGCGAATATGTAACACAATATCAATTTTTGTATAGATTTTTTATAGAAGAACGGCGAGGTTGAGTTATTAAAATTTTAGAACAAACTTCCGAATTCCTAAAATTTATTTTTATGAAATCATGTTTGTGAGAATTCCAAAGCAAATAAGAATTAGAATTAATATAGATGCAAAATCAATCTACTAGGTAATTAATATTTTGATCTGGATATGTTGGTGAAGTTTTCTAGAGCATTCTTTTCTAGTAAAATATTTATAATTATATTTATATTTAACGTTAACAAATCAATTGTTTTACCTATCGACATTGGAAACATTTTATGATCTTTGAAGACATCCTATGGAAAGACATAAAATAAAAAATTCCATAGTTCAATCATTTTTCTTGATTATGCAAACAATGTTTGAACAAATTGGTGAAAATTTTGTCATGTTTTTTCATCTGAGTACACCTAGAAACTAGCAAAACACGTGAAACAAAATAGTCTACATAAGATCTGTAAACATATTTTTTTTCAAAGCTGCAATTCTCACAACTTATATTTAAAATAAAAATTCATGGTATTTTTTCTTTTATTTTTAAATAGTATGACCAAAAACAAAAAAAAATCGTTTAGGTACATGCAAATTACCTTCAACTGCTTTAATTAATGGTAATTTCTAGCTTCTTTCTTAGTTTATAAATATTATTTTTTTTATTTTCCTTACTTTAAAAGATTGTCGTTTACATAACTCAATCACAGCATCTTTAATTCTCAATATTTCAACTTTTCAAAAGAATTTTTAAATATTTTTTGAAATACTCTATATTCTTGCTTATCGAAGTTCAGTGCACTCAGAACTCAATTATAGAAATAGAAATTCAATAAATCTAACTTTTTTTTATTATCCTAGTATCTATTTACCGAACTCCACATATTAAATCTTTGCACTTAATAATTCAAATGTGGGATGTTCAAAGAGAAGCACAGACATTTTAAAAATTATGACATATTTGTAAAATAATATCAAGTGTGTAAATAAATAGCTAATTAAATATAAAAAAAATCAACCACAATTAATGTTCAATGATTCTTAACATGAAGCCTTCTTCTTTTAATAATACAACAAAAGGAAGCATTTAACTCTTCTTGTTATAACATTTGCTATTGCAGAATTCTAGGATTCGTTATGAGATAAGCTTAGTGAAAATAAAGAGTAATTGAAGTTTAATATTTAATAGATTTAGTATGTATGAAGTGAAAAAGAATATCCCCCATCAATTAATGAAAAACTAAATACCTAGATTTACTGCTTAGTTATTAAAAACTTGGAATTTTGTTTAAATTAGCTGGAGATTTTTTATGTATTAAAAATTGTTATCAACTAAATCTTTTATTTCATTTTTAAAATTAGGATCAAACTTAAAGTTTAATCAGAGCATGTTAGATGTGAGACAAATGACAAATAAATGTTATTTAGCTTTGATTAGAGGGAAAATAGAAACTGGATCTAGTTATGAAGTTAATTGCAGCATACCAAAATATTGATAATTTTTTTGAATTAATTCAAAATTTTAAATTAAAAAATAATTTAAAACAAGATATTTTTTTTTGTATTATTAGACCAAATCAAACATTTTAAAGAGACGAGTTTCGTAAGCTTAAAAAAACTAAACAATGAAAAAGAGTATTTTTAAAAATTTTTCTCTCGTTTAAGTACCTATCATAAGGTTTCTATTCTCTTGTAAAACTCAGATTTCCCAAGTTGGATGCCATGAGATGTGGAAATTTCAAAAGGTATGTTAGAATCAAAAACTTTCAATTTATTTAAAGGAGACATTCTGTGGACTGATTTCGATGATTTCTCTCCTCTAATTGAAGATGATTTTGTGTGGAGGTAGCTCTTTGACAACATTCAATAGCACGGCACTCTGACAATCCTTCACATTCAGATAACAAGCATAACGCCCTTTTTTGCTGAGCTGCCATATATTCAATCAAAGTTTTGTCTATTGCTCGTAAACGTTTTTCTAAACTTGTTGTCGCAAGAATGTTCACCTTAAATACAGATTTATTTTAAGTATACATGTTAAGCTTACACAAAGATATTTTTTTAAAATATTTACCTTTAATAATGGACTTAATGGTAATATCGCAATCATCCACCATGTCCATGATGGGCCGTCGTTACTTATACTCCAGTTTTCCTCTAAATCTGGCATTTTTCCAAAACTTTTTAAAATCTCATCTTTAATGTTTTCTGGTAGATTTTTGCACCATTCCTTGGCTTTTTCCATAACACGACAGTTCAATTCTAAGATGGATTCGCTACAGATAGGAACATCTTTAATAAATTCTATATTTGCCGTATCATATCCGTCTTTTTCACTTCTATTCAATACTCGAAAGCGCTTGGTTCCTAAGGTACTAAGTATCGAACATCCATCTCCAAGTTGCACACAGTCTCGTATTTCTAATAAAGTTCCATATTCAGCATATTTTTGACGATTATTTTGAGCCAACACAATACCAAATTGACGAGTTCCATTTTCAATTGCACGTCTAACCATAAGACGATATCTTGGTTCGTATATAAATAATGGACAAGGTACTGATGGAAATGCGGTAGTACATATGAAGATTGGTATAGCAGGTTCTTTTACTAACTCTTGTGATCGTCTATTTTCATAAATTTTTGGAATGAAACGTTTCATTGCTTGTTCAATAAATCGCGTTGTGTTACGACGAGATAAAGAAAGCATTGTTGGATATTGAACTTGATTTGTATTTAATCGTGTTGGATAATTTTCGATGAGTGGTGCCATGCATAAAGGACAATAACCTGAGTAATCCATACTGCGATCTAAACAAACCTTCATAACAAAATAGAATGATTTGGAGCTAATTAAAGACAATAAAGAATAAATTTAATTATTTTTATACCCAGCAGTATGTGTGACCACAAGGTGTAACCACTGGTTGATACAACGTGCGACAACAAAGCACACAATCAAAATCTGATGGTTCAATATGTAGAGGGTTAACTTCTAGTAAGATTGGTTTCAGCTCCATCCCTGAAAAAAAGAATAAATATAAATTAAAAATTATATGAGAAAAGAAAACTTTTTATTGACGAATGTTCTCATATGGCGAACCAAAAAAAATAATTAAAAACTGCTTTATCGACACAGACATTACATCAACAAAAGTAGAAAAATTTCTTACTTCGGTATTTCTCAATTTCTTGAAAAACTCTTTCAAAAAGTATCCGTAATCGAACATTTTTCCTTGGAATAATTTGTTGGCTATCTAAATGATTGTGATTAATATTGTTTAAACGGCGAAAAAGTCTACGATTGTGACGATTTCGGTTTCGATTTAAAAAATGGTGGTAATCCTCTCCTTCACCACAGCTAAAATAGATAAATATGTATTCTTATTAACCAAGAAAAATTTTCTATCCTTAAATACTACCTCGAATTTCCTTCATCTTCATAGTCATGTTGATTTGTTCTGATGCATATAATCTGATGTTCTTGTCCATTGAAATATCTTTGATTTCTTCTATATGATGAAATGCCATATGGGAATGAAGTTGTTATTAGGTGACTGCTTATAGATCGGTTTGATGTGAGTATTTTCTGTAAGAGCTGTTAAGAAAAAGTTACATTAATTATTATTAACATTTCATTTTTAAAACAACTTACCCGAGATATATCATACTGCAAAGGTGATGAAATGTTTTCTGATTTTTTATCCAAACAAATTGAAACACAAAATGCCAAAAGAGCTTCTTCATATCTCCCAAGACCATTCAGAGCAAGCGCTCTACGATAGTGGCTCTGCAACAAAGCAATAAGAATGTGATTTATAATTATTTGTTCTCAAGTAGAAATATATAATTAAATGTTTGATTATAATTTTTTTCAGAAAAAAAAGGTTTATTGAATCATCAATTCGAAGAAATTATACAATGTAGAATCTTCTTATTTTATTTAATGTTTATGTAAGAGCATGACATATAGATATGTATATATAATACTTCTTGAATTCTTAATTATAATCTACATAGTTACGTAGATACATCGTCTAGAAAAAGAAGATCTTCGTTTTCATTGCACAATTTCTAATTGAATTAAATTATATTATCTTGTGAACTTACTTTGTAAGACGAAGGTCGTGAGTTGATTGAATTTTCGGCATCGGCCAATGAACTTTGATAATGTTTCAATCGATATAAAACTTGAGAGCGAAGTAAAAGTCCCTTAAAATTATTAGGTGCTAAACAAATGAGAAAAAAGAAATATTAATATCAAAACTTGATAAACATTGGATTTTAAATAATATTTTTAATTTTCTTTTATCGCTCTTTAGAGAATTCTCAAAATCATGTTGAATATTTTCTTGAACTTTTGTGGATTATCTATACTTCAATGAAATTCGTTTTTTTGTCTCACTTCTTTACGTTGAGAAAAATAATATGCGTCATTTAATATAAAGTATCAGAAAAAAGTCAAATAGGTAAGTAAATGTAATTACGACGGGCCCATACCATTTGTAATTCAAACAGTTATCGTTGTTCAAGTAATACATTTGTTACATTTTAAATTAAGGGATTCGAGGCTAATTTTCTTATTTTCTTGACTTCATTTATAATTATCATTACACTTATTATTTACCAGTTTCTAAACTTTGATTGCAAACTTTCAAAGCTTCATCCCATAGGTTTCTTTCGAGATACTGTTCAGCTTCTTTGTTGAATTTTGAAGCTTTTAGAAGTGAACTCCACCATTTTTCCACTAATCTTCGAACAAGAATATCTTGCTCTAAACCATTACTTTTAATAACACTTTCAAAGATCGCCTTGCAGTTTTCTTTTTCCGCCAAAAAAATGCAACTTTCTTCATTGCTATTTGATGAAGCAGGATGAATTTCTGATGTGACAGTAGAATTTTTGACTGCTGTACAATGTGATGATGAGGTTTGTGGTTCAAATTGATTTTGAACTGAGGTATTATTAAAAGGGAATTTCTTCCAACATAAAATGCACTTTGAGCGGCCAAAAATACATTCGCGACAAAAAGTGTGACCGCATATTGATGTCACAGGATATTTTAGAACATCTTCACAAATGGGACAGCATAGTGGGTCCACATGATCCATATTGGAGTTCGTCATATAGTTTGTGCCATTAACATTGACACTTGTGGTCCGCTTATCAACGATAAATTCTATTATTGATGTTGATAAGCATTTCAATTTTTCTACAGGTATTATTTCACACAGCTGGTAACAAATATGACAATATATATCAATGGCATCTTTTATTCGTCCACACATTGCAAGTGAATCACCGTATCCAAAATACATTTCAGTCGTTTTACGACAATTTTCACGCAATAACCTTTCGTAGATCTCACATGATAAAACATAGTTATGAGTTTTAAATGCATCTTTAGCTAGCTCCAATAAGGCAGCCATTGTTTTAGTTCTCACTGTACTTGTTATTATCTTTCTTTATGTTTATTCTTTGTTCTTTTTATGTATATGCGTTTTAAAAAGTAATCTTTTAAATGAAAAACAAACGAATAATATTAGATAGGAATATTTGTCTTAGATATTTTTTTTCTCACTAAAATATAAAATAGGGTTTGATAACAACGATGATGTTATGTCATCAACATTTTTTTCTTATTCATTTATGTAATCGAAAATTTATCCTTTTCAAAATTTGGAGACGACACTCAAAGTAGAACAATAAACAGCTTAGTTTATCTTTAGATTATGTTGAACTTCACTCAATTTCATCTAAAAATATAACACACATAACATTTTTATTTTGATAGTTCTATACTTGTAGGATAAATTTATTATATAACATTTCTTTTCCTAATTTTTCCATTATTTTTGCGAAAAGAGTATAAGTTTCATCCTTGTTTATCTTGTTTTTTAGTTAACAATCAGAAATTTTTCATAAAGACTTGACTCTAGAAATATTATGTTTGTTCTTTGTAGGGACTCAGCTTTTTTCAATCCATGACAATATTGAATGAAAATCTGTCGAATACACACAGAATTGTATCTTTAAAAACGATTCGTAAACAATGAGGATATTCATATAACATTAGCATAGCATTTTCAATCACTTTATAACACTATCTTTGTTACATAACGAAGTTCATATTTTTTCGTATCAAAATCATTATTCAATTCTTTATTAACGAGTATGCATACATAAGAATATTATGTCATTCTTTTTTTCTCTCTCTTTCTCCTTCTCGCAATATATCTCTCTTTCTTGATTTTTTTAACTAAATTTTTGATTACACTTGAGTTCTTTTCTTTATCCGAAATTCATCACTTGTTTCACCAGCTTGAATATGTTCAGAAAACTTTTGTTTTAGGTTAAAGTTAATCAAGTATTTCACTAGTCTTCATGATGCATTATAATCAATGTTATACAATAATATTAATGAACGACTCCGTGGCATGCTCCTATAAGAGCAAAGTACTTGCTAAAAATGATGTGAACAAAACGAGAATGTGTTTTTCAGTGTTTTCTTTCCTACTCACGAAAAATTAAGTGAGTATTTTCCAAGTATTTTTCAAAAAAACAGTTTTTACTCTCTTTATTCTCTCTGTTTGTAACAAGGGGCAATTTAGCAAAAACAATCAAACTACGTCGGTCAATATGGTACTAACTGGATCATTACTGTATTTTGTTAAATAAAACGAATTAATGAATTCCCTCTTCTCATTTTATAACTGTCTTGTAAAGTAAAATTCATTTACACTTTTTTTATGTTTTGTGCACAGCTAAAAGTATTAGGTATTTTATAAATGTTTCTTGTTTTTTTTTTACCATTTGATGTCATGAATAACCCCTGTGTAAGCCTTTGTGCTTGCTTTGTGAGATTGAGAAAGAGCAAAATGGTAAACAAACGACGAGGGGCCAAATAATCGCAAATGTGAAGAAGTAGACTTTTATTCACACAAAGAAATAAAAGCTTGTCAGATGTTGGATAAATGCTCTTTGAGTAAAAATGAAATAAAAATAAGTTTTGTGAGTGTGATTTAACCCAATTGGGAGAACCTTTAAATGTATGTTTGACGAAATACTCTATCTTATAATATGATTATGTTACACATCGGTGTTGCATACTCAATTTTAAGTTATTATAACTTCAAATAACTTGAATTAAAGAAGAAATAACCGAAATAAAAAATGCGCTCTCGAAATCGGGGACGACTTTTAATGTTGTAATTTTTGGATTTGGCTTCTTTTTTTATACTCGACTCTTACAAGGTTGATCTTTCATTTACCCAAATTGAGCAGACTAACTTCAACACTATGTCACATAAAAAAATATACAATTAGCAATTTATCAAATCAATTTCTCAAATGGAAAGTACCAAGATAGGTTCTAGATAAATTTCTATGAAGATCTTTTTTTTCTTCTATAATCTTTAAAATTTACTTAGTTGATGAACTTTAAACTACTTTTCAAATACTATCCATTTTTGAATTAACTAATATTTTTTCTTTGGTTTCCATGCAATATTTGTATATCGCAATAATTCGAAGTAGAAATTGGCTTAAGTCGTTACTGAAATAATAAAAAAGGTATGTCGCAAATTTCATGCTGCAAGATTTTGCGTGATTACATACAGATATTTGGATAAAAAGATTGAAAACGAGAGAGAGAGATAAAATTAAATAAAATTTTGAAAATCAAGACCATTTATTTATTAAATAAATACAATTTGACTTAGGCTTCGTGAAGTTTCAATACATAAGTTATTCTAAGTATCTACATAAAAATGTACACACTTAGAATCGACGTACATATTCATAAAAATTATCCTTTAATTTTTTTTTGCTATTCTATAACAGTTTAGTTAATATTTTTAATTACTTACAACATTCTCTTTAACTCTTTTTTGAGTGTTTCTCATATTGCAGTTTATTCATTACTTGCCAAACTTGTTTTACTTCTTTCCTTCTCTCGATGATCTTGACACATATTGCATACTTTAGTTTACAAAAATATTTTCGGAGTAGTGTTAAATAACATGTTACTGTGAAATCAGCAAGAGGTTGCGTAGGTTAATTATTTTATTTACTTCTCTTTCTGTATTACAGTCTTAATTTTTTAAATATTTTTTCCACAAAGTTACTATTTAAATAGATGTTGCAGTGATTGCATAAATTATTTAACGAATAATAATTCTTGTCATTCTTAAGAAATGGGAAACTTGAAAATAAAATTATTTATTAACATATCCACATGTATATAGTAAAGAGCTACCTACAATCTAGATAGGTAGGTTTGTCATCTAGCTTGCATTTTGTAATTTTGATTTTGAAGGCTTGAGATGAAATGACATGTTATGATAGTTTTAAATGTTGAGTCGTGGTTCAAAAGGAGTGATTCCTTTCTCCAATTTGAACTGATTATTCAATAATGATTTAAATTTCGTTGTCCAAATTTCCGGAATTCTCAATATTTTTTTTATGTAACTAGATACATTTCCAATTGCTAAACAATAGTTTACAGTTTACAATTATAATTTATTAAAATATATTAATTGCTTGTTTAACATTCAAAGAGTCAAGATGTTGGCTTTAATTATTTTTTAGATTTCAAGTTAGTCTAATTATCAGCTAAATCATGAATATTTTCACTATCTTGAACGTTCATCATTTCATCATCAAAATTTCCATGTTTTTCACGTGTTTTCTTGAAGTATTCTTCTATAGAGAGAAGATGATTTGTGTAATTCTCTGGCCGCTGCGAATAATAAAATTCATGAACTTTGAAACTTTCAAAGAGTTCATTAACCATGAATGGGAATAACCATAAGACAAGCGGTGTCTCGCCAGCTATATAAGATCCTTCTATTGGTAAACATTCTAGTTGTTAAAATTTAATTCAAGAATATGAGATTAATTTGATAAAATGATACCTTTGTGATAAAATAAATATCCATCAAGTTCTGTTCCATCTTTAAAGGGTGCATAAGTTTCAAAAACAAGCTTTATTGTATTTTATTTATTTTATTTATTAAGACTTATTCAATTGTGTGTACATTTAAGAACTATGTTCTTTTTACGTTTCCTTCAAGAGATCTTGTATGAGATCTTGTATGAGGATCTACAAAAGCCTACTCTGAACAAAGTTCAATTTTTGAAATGCATTTAATTGTAGAATATCAAGACAATACATGTGACTTATTTAATTAAACAATATCGTCCCTTCTTCTTCAGTTTTAGCAACTTTTAGGCACAAGGATCAAAGACATGAGGATTACAATTAGGAGAAGGTGAACATTTGTTTGTCATTGGGGAAGGAAATGAAGGTTTTCCCATTGTAACCATTTCGTATCTCCACATCCACTTTGATGTGCAGCATCTTGGAATTGGCCTCACTGTGCATAATGGACGTCCCTTACATTCTCGACGTGGGCAATCTAGCTGTAGACCATTTCGTTTGACGCATTCACATTTGATGATCAGAATGCTTCCTCTAAGTTCTCGACTTGGACAACGAACGCTGCAAATAATTTTTTTTCTTATTGAATAAAATTTCAATCAAATTACCTTTGGTGGACATGGTGAACATGGCGATGGGCAAAGGAAGCATGGGAAACAAGGCAAACAGGGATCTAAACATGGTGGACACGGTTCTGGGCATGGTAATGGACATGGGAGGGCAATTTGATCACACATTTTTTCTGAAAAAAGATTTTTAATGAAACAAAATGTGATTAAAAACCTGAATGATTCTTAAATTTTTACTTTCAATTTTTTTTCAACTTTTTTTTTATTTTTATAAGTTAGAAAACTGATTCGTCTCAATCAAGATAAAAATTTAGAATGATTGTTGAGAATTTAATTTGTTACAAATTTTCATGTTGAAATTTCATTGCTAACTGAAATCGAAATTCAAAATTTGAATAATCTAGTACAACAATTGTGTCCAGACTAAACGGTTATAAAATTGCGCCATTGAAAGTTAAAACGAAAGCTTCACAAAATTATTTGTATTTATTTTATGTAGGATGGAACAAGTATTTAAGATAGATATTTCAGATATTTGTAAATTACTTAAGTATAATGTAATTCAATATGAAGAATACAATATTCATTGCGTATTTTAGTCGATCGAAGTGAAGACGTTAGGAAGGAAGCCTTATTTCGGTTGAAAGATATTCTTAACAACAACATCATATTCAAGGAATCACCTGATTGCCCAACAGTTGTTAACTTGGAAGTCCTAGTTAGACATCTCATTCAATGGTTTCAATTACGTCCTCTTACTCAAGAACACGAAGTGTTAAATTTATTAACGCTTATTATAAGCGTGAGTATTTAAATTTTGTTTCATTTGTGATGATTCTAAGCAATTATTTTATTTATAGCAAAAGGAACTTTTGAACGCTGTTACACATCATATTGGTATCAGCAGCCTCAGAGAAGAATTTTTAAAAATCGGAAACTTAAAGCTCAATGAGAATTGCATGATTAAAGTCCAGAAGATCATTGAACTGCTCAATGACTATGAGACTGGTATTGTACCTGAAATGATGCAAGAGCAGGACTCATCACAAGAAAATAACTCTGATAGTTACACCAATTGTCTGACAGCTAGAAATCGAAAATCTATTTCAAATCCTGTTAAGGACGAGGAATTATTCTGGATCAGACTTGAAGGAAAGAACAAAGATATTTTCAACGCAATCAATAACATGTTGTTGCACTACAGACAATCGGATACTGGAAGAAAAAATTTCGATTTATTTCTCAAAAATACTGACGAATTTCCAATCGAGTTTTATTTTCAATCGCCAAATGTCCTTTCAACAGTCATTAATATGAATATATCTGATGATGAAAATACATCAATCAACATTATAAAGTTCATCCGTTTCATCGTTAATTCTATTCAAAGTCGTTTGATAGAATCATTCGAATATGCTGATGATCAAGAACTGAACTTTCCATCAGTGAAAAATCATTTTAATCAAATCATGACGATGCTCACGATTTACTTTGAGACTTTACAAAAGAACTTCAGTCTGGATGTTTTCAAGAAGAATCTGGACTATTTAAATGAAGTTTATCTGCTTTTATTTGATGTTTCATTTTTCATCAGAAAGACAAAAAATGCCTGCGAAACTGATTTCAATCAACTTATAAATGCAATTGGCAATTTTGCAAAACTTTTGCGAACTTACAAAACTCCACTAAACCGTGATTTAGGAGTTATCAGAGTTCATTATATGCTTTCAATTTATTCAATCAATTTCCTCGTCTCATCTGTTGACACCACAAAAATTAGCGAAAAATATCCAAACAATGCATGGGAATTTGAATCGAATTTTGCAATGTTAGATGGAGGTTTAAAGATGTCGCAATGTCAAATATATTCAATGGTGATCAATAATCGAGTAAGCATCGTAAAGAAAGATAATGAATTATCACTTTTTCTTAACTCACGACTTATGTGGCGACCTGTTGTTCAATTATTTCAAAATTGGTACAAAATGTCTGGCGAGGAAATTCTTAAAATAGGCGTTGATGCTCTTAAGACAATTTGCATTCATAGAAGTTTAGAATTAGTCAAGTTGTTGACAACTTCTATTAAAAATTGTTCAAAGCAATATGCCGATAATTTGATGCTTAAACAATTAGCTCAGGATATCTTTCTACAATTGCTTTGTACTGAAATTCTTGAAATTCGCCAACATGCATACAGCTTTGCTAAGAAAAGCATTCAAGAAAAGATTAATGATAAACCCAAAGATGATCCATCTTGTGATGACAGTCTTTGTCATATTTTTGGTATTCCAATCAAGACTGAAATCTTCACTGAAATTATTTGCTTTGGCTTAACTGATGTGGATGAGGAAATTCGAAAATGTTCCAAATCTATTTTTGTCGTTTTACTTCGATCAAAAATTATTTTTTCTGAACGTCATTGGCTGAGAATTTACGACATAATGAAGCCTGTTTTACCATTGCCAACTGCTGTGTTGAAAGATCACAACCACATGGATATGCTTGTTAATGGCTATTATCAGTCAAGTTCGTCACATCACCAACATCAACTTAATCAGGCATTAGCCAGATTTTTCTTCTCCAAAGATCCAGAATCACGATCTGCCGCCAAGAAGAATTTGTTGAAAAACTTAAGATTTGAAGAAGATTCCATAGAAGTTATTCCCGATGATTTTTGTATCCTTCCCAAGCACATGGTGAAATTGTTGGCCCTTCCTAATAATGTTGGGTATGATGAAGAGAACTACAAAGAAATTTACAGAATTTTCAAAAACCCAAATACTATTAACAAGGAAAACGTTACATCGCTTCTCATTCAGCTGAGTGGTCTTATGAATTCAAGAGAACTTTGTCACAAATCACACGATGATAACATTTGGATTTATTTTACGGCTAACTAGGATTTGGATGCACCAATTGAATCCGTCGTTCGAAAGCTGACAATCAACATTTTATATAAATGGGCAGTTTGCATCACATCATTTCGTTGCTACATTCGAGCAATGCTTCGGTTCTTGAATTTCTGATAAAAACTTTGGTCTTCTTAAAAGATGACGATGAAGTTAAGAAGCAAGCTTCCTGTTTGTTGTTCTTAGTGCTATTCAGCGATTTTGTTGTTACAAACGGAAATTTTGTTTCAATGCCAAAATGCCTTTCATCGTTGAATTGTCCATTTAAATTTGATCAACATTGGATTGAAAGTCCTTTCAATGTGTTTTCAGAAATTGAAGAAGTTGACATTGCAATCAAAGCTACGAATGAAACTGGAGATATTTGCAGAATTTCGCAACAACTTTTACGATTCTCTTTCGCTTATGAATGGTTCAAAGATCCTGAGTCATTAATTCATGTAAACTTGAGTGACTTTTCCAATGGCGAATTTTATTACAAGAATCTTAATGAAAATGTATTGAAAGTTTCTGCAATACTTCGACTCACAACTGATGACATCATTTTTCTAAAGCAGTCAAGCATCTCTGAAATTATTAAAGAAATAACTTTCCAAATGGATAATGCAAAGACAGTTCAAGAAGTTCAAAATCTTACAACTCAAATTCAAACTTTTCTTCTCATTCCATCCGATAGTTCAGATGTTTTGTGTGCAAGATTTTATGAAAGTATGATGATGATGATGAATGATGAAAGTATTTATCGAGTGTTGGTTTACGATGACGAAAATGAAGCTCAGAAGGAAATGTTTTTAAAATTATTGCAAATTTATCAGCAAATTATGAAGTGGCTTAAAGATGAAAATGTTTTGGGTTTACTAAACACGAACTTCCTCATTGCACTCATCAAGACCAATTTGGAATTTCCAGAAGATATTTTCATTGAAGGTCTCAATGTTATAGACTGCATCGTCAATTTATGTGAAGTTCGTGCACCATTGAAAGATGCTGTCATAATGAAATATGATCGTGAAGAAAGATTCAACTTTCCTTCAAGACTTGTCGTTAAATTCACAGGAAAACTTTTCCAAGATGTAATGAAAGATGAAAAGTGGAATGAAGTCAATCATCATGGCATTGTCAAAGCCATTTTGAGATTAATTAAAAGTCTTTTAAATGTAATGAAATGCTCTGATCTTGATGACACGTTTTTATGTTCACTCTTTGGTCATCTTTCATCAGTAACTTTGTCATTACGTTTGTCTTATCAAGAAGACTTGNTTGCTTTGGCTTAACTGATGTGGATGAAGAAATTCGAAAATGTGCCAAATTTATTTTCGTCGTTTTACTTCGATCGAAAATTATTTTTTCTGAACGTTATTGGTTGAGAATTTACGACATAATGAAGCCTGTTTTACCATTAACAACTGCTATGTTGAAAGTTCACAACTACATGGATATGCTTGTTAATGGTTATTATCAGTCAAGTTCGCCACATGATAAACGTGAACTTAATCAAGCATTGGCCAGATTTCTCTTCTCCAAAGATCCAGAATCACGATCTGCTGCCAAGATGAATTTATTGCAAAACTTAAGATTTGAAGAAGATCTCATACAAGTTATTCCCGATGATTTTTGTATCCTTCCCAAGCACATGGTGAAATTGTTGGCACTTCCTAATAATGTTGGGTATGATGAAGAGAACTACAAAGAAATTTACGGGATATTCAAGAATCCAAAAACTATTAACAAGGAAAACGTTACATCGCTTCTCATTCAGCTGAGTGGTCTTATGAATTCAAGAGAACTTTGTCACAAATCACACGATGATAACATTTGGATTTATTTTACGGCTAACTTGGATTTGGATGCACCAAATGAATCCGTCGTTCGAAAGCTGACAATCAACATTTTATATAAATGGGCAGTTGCATCACATCATTTCGTTGCTACATTGCAAGCAATGCTTCGGTTCTTGAATTTCTGATAAAAACTTTGGTCTTCTTAAAAGATGACGATGAAGTTAAGAAGCAAGCTTCCTGTTTGTTGTTCTTAGTGCTATTCAGCGATTTTGTTGTTACAAACGGAAATTTTGTTTCAATGCCAAAATGCCTTTCATCGTTGAATTGTCCATTTAAATTTGATCAACATTGGATTGAAAGTCCTTTCAATGTGTTTTCAGAAATTGAAGAAGTTGGCATTGCAATCAAAGCTACGAATGAAACTGGAGATATTTGCAGAATTTCGCAACAACTTTTACGATTCTCTTTCGCTTATGAATGGTTCAAAGATCCTGAGTCATTAATTCATGTAAACTTGAGTGACTTTTCCAATGGCGAATTTTATTACAAGAATCCAATGAAGGTCTCAACTGCATCGTCAATTTATGTGAAGTTCGTGCACCATTGAAAGATGCTGTCATAATGAAATATGATCGTGAAGAAAGATTCAACTTTCCTTCAAGACTTGTCGTTAAATTCACAGGAAAACTTTTCCAAGATGTAATGAAAGATGAAAAGTGGAATGAAGTCAATCATCATGGCATTGTCAAAGCCATTTTGAGATTAATTAAAAGTCTTTTAAATGTAATGAAATGCTCTGATCTTGATGACACGTTTTTATGTTCACTCTTTGGTCATCTTTCATCAGTAACTTTGTCATTACGTTTGTCTTATCAAGAAGACTTGAATAACAATAATATAACCATGGACAGCATTCCACATACACATGCAAGCCTATTGAAGCTTATATTTGCAATCATGCTCAAAATTTCTTCAATAGTTAAACGATTGAACATGGAACAAGAACATTTGCAAAATCTCATGTTCTGGATGGTGGAAGAATTGGATGAAAATCTTCGAAACATTAAACCATTGCCCTGGATGATAATTGAAGAGTTAACAAAGGATAAAGAAAGTTGCGAAAAGTTTTGCCGTCATGTTTACGCAAGATGTGGAATGACACTCCCAACGGTGTTATCTTTGTCAGTACATAAACCTTCAACTCATCGTAATCGTCTCGAAGAAAAGATAAAAGTTTTAATAATTGGAAATATCATCGATCATTGCGATAATCTTAATGATGAATTGAAATTCAGTTTCAACATTGAAGATGAAAGAATCGTTGTAAGAAAAATGAAAGAAAAGTTTTTGCAAATCAATAATGTCAGTGCTTGTTGCTTCATGATTAGAAAAATAATTGCAAAGAACGATCAGAAATCTTGTGACTCCATCATCAATAATAAATTGGTACTGAAATTTATGAACTTTGAAGTACCAGAAAGAGTTTTTTTAAAAGAATACAAGGAAATCACAGATCGATTTTTTACAATCGCTGCGTGTTACAATTGGATGCCACTTATGGATCATGTTGTTGAAGTTGTTGGCCAATGTAAACTTGACTTCGTACTTATGATGGTGAATCCTAATGAATACGAGCATGAAGTATTTAAAAACTTTAATCAAGCTGCACTTGATGTTCTTCTCATCATGACTCAAAGCAAAGATGGAATGCAAAAGATTGCAAATGCATGTGATAATTCAGAATTTGTTCGTTGTCTGATGATTGTATCGCATTATAATATGGACATTGAGAGCAAACCTAATGTCATCATCAGCCAGTTGAAGTTTTGGAACTCATTTTTTGTTGCATGTTCGAGCTATGAAAATTCGCCGCTTGACATCATCAATAACCAAACGTTCAACATTTACAACAATGGAATTTCAAAGTTTCATTTGGGTATAAATACATCTAAATCGAAGATTTTAGAGGTGTCATTCAGACAGCATATTCAAAATCCAATTGATTTTCTTTTCCTTAAAATTGTTGCCATGTTTGAATATATTTATGAATCAAAGTTTAAATCTGAAGGTAAATAACTTGGAATGGAAATTACTAAAGTTAAATTAAACGTGATTTTATTATTTTTCAGAAAAATTGAATATGAAATGTTTATGCTCAATGCTCATTTCATTACTTTGCAAAAGAAATAAAGGAATTCAACGACTTGTAGTTAAAATTAACTTGGTTATTATAGTCATAAGAGATCTCGATTTAACATTGGAAATCATGAAAGGATGTGGATATCTTGAGACGATAAAGAAACACGGTGTTAAAGCTGTAAATATGATTTTAATCAATTTTTTCCTTCATTTTCATAATTTCCTTTTATCATCTCTAGGCTAAAATATTGATCACTGATACCTCAATTTTATTCAAAGCTCTTTATGAATGGCAAATTCCATTGGACAGTCACAAAAAAGCTATTTCAATCATGTTTGGGAAAATTTTTCATGCTTTCGATTGGATTGAAAATGATTCGATTCTCTTTAATTGTTTCATTAATCTTTCCTACAAAATTGGTCTTTTACGGTTTGGAAGAAGATGCATCATGGGAGCGGAAGTGAAAAAAATAAATCATTGATTTCATATCTCATGGAAAAGGCTCAAGACCTGTCTATGAAAACACCACACACTGATGCCAACCTCACGTTGCTGAAAAATGTATTGAAATTACTTTTGATTTCATCAAAACGGATTGAAGTTCGCTTGGTGCTACGACAAGCAAAAGTGTTCCACATTTTCGAACTTCTTCATCCGTAGATTTGTTCGTATGAGATAACAACTTGGGACAGTGTAATCATTGAATGGTTGAAATTCACTGAACGCTTCTCTAGATATGAAAACACTAAATGCTTGAAAAGGTAAAAAAGTTTACGCAAACATTTACTTTAAAAAAACTTAAATTTCTTCTATCCACAGCCATGTTTCACTGATTTGCCGCTTGTTCCGTGTTGGAAATCAGAAAGTCAAATTGTACTCCTTGATTATTTTAAGAAATTTGTCACTCATCACATCCAATGGTAATGTTATGCTAAACTCAAATGAATTTATTGAAACTGTTACTTACATCATCCAAAACGATTCCATGGCACCAAACGAAGAAAAGATTATTGTTTTACAAACTTTACTCAGTATGTCAACTCAAAGTTATCAGATGAATCGAATGTAAAAATCAAAAACTCATCATTATATCGAATACTTAAAGATGAAATTAACGTTATGCAGTCAAAGATCGATGATGAGATACTTTTAAATCTTTCAAAACTGTTGAAGAAGGTGCTCTACCTAAAAAATCTTTAATTATTTCAAAACTGATTTTATAATTGTAATCTTTATGTTTGATTTGATATTTATTTGAGATTACCGATTTTAATAAAATAAAATTTTATGTAACTACATTTCCAATTGCTAAACAATAGTTTACAGTATACAATGATAATTTATTAAAATATATTAATTGCTTGTTTAACATTCAAAGAGTCAAGATGTTGGCTTAATTTATTTTTTAGATTTCAATTTAATCTAATTATCAGCTAAATCATGAATATTTTCACTATCTTGAACGTTCATCATTTCATCATCAAAATTTCCATGTTTTTCACGTGTTTTCTTGAAGTATTCTTCTATAAAGACAAGATGATTTGTGTAATTCTCTGGCCGCTGCGAATAATAAAATTCATGAACTTTGAAACTTTCAAAGAGTTCATTAACCATGAATGGGAATAACCATAAGACAAGCGGTGTCTCGCCAGCTATATAAGATCCTTCTATTGGTAAAAATTCTAGTTGTTAAAATTTAATTCAAGAATATGAGATTAATTTGATAAAATGATACCTTTGTGATAAAATAAATATCCATCAAGTTCTGTTCCATCTTTAAAGGGTGCATAAGTTTCAAAAACAAGCTTTATTGTATTTTATTTATTTTATTTATTAAGACTTATTCAATTGTGTGTACATTTAAGAACTATGTTCTTTTTACGTTTCCTTCAAGAGATCTTGTATGAGATCTTGTATGAGGATCTACAAAAGCCTACTTTGAACAAAGTTCAATTTTTGAAATGCATTTAATTGTAGAATATCAAGACAATACATGTGACTTATTTAATTAAACAATATCGCGCTTCTTCTTCAGTTTTAGCAACTTTTAGGCACAAGGATCAAAGACATAAGGATTACAATTAGGAGAAGGTGAACATTTGTTTGTCATTGGGGAAGGAAATGAAGGTTTTCCCATTGTAACCATTTCGTATCTCCACATCCACTTTGATGTGCAGCATCTTGGAATTGGCCTCACTGTGCATAATGGACGTCCCTTACATTCTCGACGTGGGCAATCTAGCTGTAGACCATTTCGTTTGACGCATTCACATTTGATGATCAGAATGCTTCCTCTAAGTTCTCGACTTGGACAACGAACGCTGCAAATAATTTTTTTTCATATTGAATAAAATTTCAATCAAATTACCTTTGGTGGACATGGTGAACATGGCGATGGGCAAAGGAAGCATGGGAAACAAGGCAAACAGGGATCTAAACATGGTGGACACGGTTCTGGGCATGGTAATGGACATGGGAGGGCAATTTGATCACACATTTTTTCTGAAAAAAGATTTTTAATGAAACAAAATGTGATTAAAAACCTGAATGATTCTTAAATTTTTACTTTCAATTTTTTTTCAACTTTTTTTTTATTTTTATAAGTTAGAAAACTGATTCGTCTCAATCAAGATAAAAATTTAGAATGATTGTTGAGAATTTAATTTGTTACAAATTTTCATGTTGAAATTTCATTGCTAACTGAAATCGAAATTCAAAATTTGAATAATCTAGTACAACAATTGTGTCCAGACTAAACGGTTATAAAATTGCGCCATTGAAAGTTAAAACGAAAGCTTCACAAAATTATTTGTATTTATTTTATGTAGGATGGAACAAGTATTTAAGATAGATATTTCAGATATTTGTAAATTACGTAAGTATAATGTAATTCAATATGAAGAATNATTAATTGCTTGTTTAACATTCAAAGAGTCAAGATGTTGGCTTAAATTATTTTTTAGATTTCAAGTTAGTCTAATTATCAGCTAAATCATGAATATTTTCACTATCTTGAACGTTCATCATTTCATCATCAAAATTTCCATGTTTTTCACGTGTTTTCTTGAAGTATTCTTCTATAGAGAGAAGATGATTTGTGTAATTCTCTGGCCGCTGCGAATAATAAAATTCATGAACTTTGAAACTTTCAAAGAGTTCATTAACCATGAATGGGAATAACCATAAGACAAGCGGTGTCTCGCCAGCTGTATAAGATCCTTCTATTGGTAAACATTCTAGTTGTTAAAATTTAATTCAAGAATATGAGATTAATTTGATAAAATGATACCTTTGTGATAAAATAAATATCCATCAAGTTCTGCTCCATCTTTAAAGGGTGCATAAGTTTCAAAAACAAGCTTTATTGTATGAGGATCTGAAAAATCGTAATTTGAAAGCAATTCAAGTTTCAACTGTTTTCCATCATTCAAGACATGAAGTTCATCTTCTAAAAACTTGCTTTTAATCCAAAACAATCTGAAAAAAGCTTCACATTCGCTCATATCATGATTGTTGTAAGCAATTATATCAAGGATGTAAATTGTGTTTGTTACCATACTAAAGATGCAATCAAGTATTGTGTTTGGAGGGATATTAGTTTTGAAATTGAGTATTCTTTTACCCTTTTTGTTGAAAAGATTTGCATATTTCTTATGTTTAGATTCTTCTGTTACGAGAGAACATCTAACACCTTTTGGACAAGGTATAAGGGTGAAATTTTCAATATCTTCAGGGAGTGATATCATAAATTCTGATAACATTATTATATTAGTGTATCTGTTTTTTAGTTGTTTCTTTTTAAAGCTTTGTTCTTGTGGTGTTTTCACTGATTCTCTTCCAGAAATGAACATTTCATCTCTTCGCCTTTTCTGAATTTCAAGCAGTTCTTTTCGTCGTTTCATTTGTTGTTCCTTCAACAGTATTTTCTTTTTATACAAATCTTTGTAATTGCTCTCCATATTTCAATAAAACCTTTTATTTTAGAGGAAACAGTATTTTTTTCAAAACTTTTCAATTGCAGAATTGTTTATTTACGTATATCTGACACCGGAGTATTTGTCAACAAAGAGTTCTACCAGTTCTACCAATTTTTTTTGTAGACAGTGCAGTGTTTCAAACCGCATCAGCATTTTTCTTTTGTTTCAGAAAATCTATCGTTAAGGAATCTATGTAGGTAGTTGATTGACCATTAAATAAGAATATACCTATCATACTCAAAATTGAAATAAAGAATTTATTCAATATTTTATATGTAGGTATACTAGAATAAAACAGACAAAATCATCATTCACCTCTACAGAATTAATTTTGTTTTCAAAATGCTTTGTCGGACCGACATTAAAAGTTTTGTTAAATGTATAAAAACAAAAGTTTTAAATTAAAGACAATCAAGCTGTGAAAAGTTTAAAAAAAAAACATTAAAATGAGCGTGAACTTGATAAATTTGGAACATGCAGAGCAGAAAAAGTTTCAAAATAGAGTTCTTATGTGGGATGACAAAATGTTGCCATTGGCTAAGCTCGGAAACGAACAGGTTTGCATTTTGAAGAAATTAGAAAAGAAAAGCGACACGAATGCAAATACCCCAAAACAAGTGGTAAACTATTATGATCGAAATGTATAAAGAAAACAAATCAATAAATTTATTTATTCATTTAGGAAAAGCATAAGGTTGATAATGAGACTGAAGTATGTCAAGCTGACTTTCTGAACTCGGCTCCAATCGAAGCAACACCAGAGTTTCTGAGCTTATTTGAAAAATTTGATGACATGCATCTCGGAAGTTCTAACAATGTTTATTCTGAATTTTACAATCAGATGAGTAATCGAAAAAAAGAATGCAATATTTTGTATGAACATGTGAGAAAGTTTATTGAATGTTCAACTTTGAAAATATTTAACTTCCTACTTATTATTTCAGATTGAAAAAATTCAAGCCGATCTAGACATCCTTATAAAGGAATACGAATTTGTATATGAAAAGACGTCATTAATGAATACCGCTAGTGACAAGCTAATTCAAGATCAGAATACATTGAACGAGATAACATCTGAAATACGAATAAGGTTGAAACATTTCAATGATGTTGATACACTCATTCAAAGATTACAAAATCCAACCTTCTCTGTTGCGAGTGACACCTTCACTGAAATTATTTCCAACATTGATGAGTCTGAAAAATACATAAGGAATCATGTAAGATTTACAATAATTTTTATCTAGATTTTAATTCATTTTTTATAAATATCAGAATTATAACTAATAAGACACTTTACAGTTAAATTTTAAGGAAGCATTAGCATATGAAGTGAAATATAAACAGTGTCGATTAAAAGCCGTACAAATGATTAAGAACTACGTCATTCAAATTCTAGCAACTGCAACAGGTAAAACTGAATTGAATATAAATAAATTCTATCATTATTTATTTTGGACTTTGTGCAGATCAAGTGCTTAATCCTAAATTACAATCGCATCAGAAAGAAGAGCAAAACTCTCTTGAAAAAAAATCTGAAACTTCATTTGCAATTTTTTATGGTAAATTTCAAGTATCGTCCGTAAAGATTCAGAAAATAATTCGATTTGTTGAGGATCGTTGCAAAATGTATTCAGCTTATGAGGATTTATTATCGGAATTGCATCAATATTTTTTGACACAACGTGTAATAATAATGAGTTCAAGTGTTGATGACACAATTAAGAATATATGCGTCAAATACAAAGGTGATCACTGTACTCTTGTTCGATCTACATGTACATTCCTTATACACATTTGTCAAGACGAACATCGCCTTTTTTATCAATTTTTTAGCGTTAAAAGTTCTCAAATGTTAAGCTATTTAGAAGGTCTTTGCAATATTTTGTATGACAACGTTCGCCCTTTTATCATTCACATAAACCATTTGGAGACACTTGCTGAAATCTGTGGAATACTGAAAACAGAAATGCTGCATGAACATGTTCAACAAAACTGTAATATTGCTTATAGATTTATTGACAGCCATAATTCATAATGATTAAAATCATTTTTTCCTAGTTGAAGCTTTGGAAACAATGGAAAAAGTATTACAACAATTACTGCAAGATACACAAGAGCGACTTGTGTTCAGGGCTCATTTGTATTTGCAATCAGATATACAACAATATCATCCTTCACCTGGCGATCTTGCTTATCCTGATAAATTGGAAATGATGGAAAGTATTGCAGTCGCGCTTCAGGACTCGAACCAGATAGATCGACTTGATTCAAAAGCTCCAAGTCTTCCTGTTGACTCTGAACAACAAGCTGCAATGCGTACTGGAAACAGCCCTGCAGATATGCATGGGATGTGGTACCCAACTGTACGACGAACACTTGTTTTTCTTTCTCGATTGTACAGATGTGTTGATAGGCCCATTTTCCAATGTTTGAGTCAGGAAGCTCTTGCTTATTGCATCCAAAATTTGTCAAGCGCATCAAATTCTATAGCTGCAAAGAAAACAAACATTGATGGGAAACTCTTCGAAATAAAACATCTTCTCATTCTTCGAGAACAGATTGCTCCATTTCGCGTTGATTTTACAATGAAACAAACGAGTTTAGATTTTAGTAGAGTTAAGACTGCTGCTTTTGAACTACTGCAAAAACGAAAACAATTATTTTCTATCAGTAGTAATAATGCTTTACTTGAATTTTTCATTGATGGAGCTCCAGAAGTTAAAGAACAACTTTTGGATTCAAGAAAAGATGTTGATCGCCAATTAAAAATTAGTTGCGAATTTTTCATAACAAATGTAACAACAGAAGTTGTCGGTCCAGTTCTATCGTTCATTGAGAATGCTGAAAAATTCCTCAAACAGCAACCATCATCGCAACCACAAATTGAGAGCAGTGGTATCGATTCTTTAAGAAAATGTTCATGGTCAGCACCTCAGCAAATACATTCATACATTCAGGAAGCACAAAGAAATATGAAAAATAAACTTCCTGGTATTCAACGATCTATGCAACTTTATCTGTCAAATAAGGAAACTGAATTGATAATGTTTCGACCGATTCGAGTAAGAATTTTTCAGCAAGTTTTATTATATTTTAACTACGTTGATAATTATTTACTTATTTCATCCTCAGAATAATATAATCGCTTCTTTCGTACGCCTTGAAGAACTTCTTGTAACAAATAGATACAGCAACGATGATATGTTGATTGTTAATATTCCAACTGCTGATCAGGTGTCAGTTACATTAAGTTCAGCTAGTCTTCTAGTAGATGCAAACTATTTTCAACAACTTAAAAAATAAAAATTTATGAACTAAACAGTCAGTCACCCATTTTATTATTTATTTTAGGTTTTCAATTATAAATGAAAATAAATAAATGGAGAGTTTATTTTACGTCTAACTTAATATTTTATCTTAAAACAATCAATCTTCTTTAGCTTGAAGCAATACTTTCTTAATCTTCAGAATCATATCTGCTTTTAGTTCGTCTGGTATTTCCTTCCTAGCTTTTGGTGTAACTCTATCGACCAGACTATCTACAGAAATTAATCCATTTGCTTTTGCTATTTCTTCTCGACAAAGAATACGAACTTTGTCATCCCACCCACTTTCTTGCAGTGATTGAACCAAATAATCTTTCAGTAGCATTCGTTCACCTCGGAGAATCGTCATTTGTTCAGCAACACGTTTTGCATTGACGTTATTATGATCGTTAATGTTTCTTGACAGCCTTAAATATAATAATGGTTATAATAAAACTTTACTTAAATCAACAAATTACTAAAATTCTTAAATAAACCTTACATTTTATTGAACATCCAAAGTGGACTTCAGAATGATGATCAAAATTCGATTTTTTTCTTTATTCTTCACTTCAATGGATGATGAGAAACAAGAAGATAATAAAAAATATGAAAGTGCCTATGTAGATATTTAAAAACAAGATTTTCGAAAATTCGACTTGCATTAGTCTCGTCAACATTTGTGTCCCTTAGTTTTAAATTTACAGTGAACTCTTGTTATAACATTTTCGAAGGGACTGACAGCATTAGATGTTATAACGAGAGTTCACTGTATACTGAAGCGGAAAAATAAAAATAAAAGGAATAAACACAAACAAGATATAAATTATAATTGAAATGGCCCAATCTATCGCTCCATCTAATCAATCAACACTTCTCCCACTGGGTAGGTAATAAAATATGCAATTGTAAACATAATTTCAAAACGTTTATTTGTTTTTCAACAGAACTGGTAGATAAATGCATCGGCTCTAGAATTCACATTTTGATGAAAAACGACAAAGAAATGTCCGGAACACTTCTTGGATTTGATGATTTTGTCAACATGCTACTAGAGGATGTCACAGAAATTGAAAACACCCCTGAAGGAAAGCGAATCACAAAATTAGATCAAATTCTTCTTAATGGAAATAACATTACAATGCTTGTTCCTGGTGGTTGCGAAATACCTGAATAAATATGATTAAAAATTGAAGCTCTTTGCTGTTTTTGTCATTTATTATTAAAGATAATAATTATTACGTACCCATTCAATCTAGAACGGCCGTATTGAAATTCTCGAAATTTTTTAAAACTTTCTTTTTGTAAGTCTGCTCAAATGAAATGAATTAGTGTGTTATTTTGAACATCCGGAATAATTTCAAGCGAATTGTTTCCAAAATTATGGAAAATTTATTAATTTTGAAGAAAAGAAAGATTTGCTAGGATTTGATTATTTTGGGAAAACAAAATGATCAACAGTCATAAATTGAGAGACAATCCAATAATTAAGTAGATATTCTTTGCTATTTACATCTCAAATTCAATTAAAATAAATTTTTTTGAAATCTAAAAATTTTAAGTGATATCTGATGATAAAAGTTTCGAAATTTGTTGAAAATTAATCCTTCCATATCAAATTTTGCTAAACTAAGAATGACTATATGAGTCGTTAATTTAGGTAATATAAAAAAAATGTGCAAACATCAGATATAACACATGCGAGGATAAAAGGATTGTTTAGTATCTCTCCACTGCTGAGAATCCATTTCTATTTCTTTCTACCTGCAATTTTTAATTTGAAAATCTAAGAAATGAAAGTTAAACATATTAGTTTTTATTCACAAATTAGGAAACAAAGCATGTTTTAATCTCCAAAAAATGAAAAATATAAGCATTATAATGATAATCAATCTTACAATGTTTTTAAAGGACAGTCAATCTTTTAAGTCCGTTAAGGGAACATATACAACAGACATGAGAGTTTGCTTTTTTATTTCCCCGTTAAGAAGTTTATCATATTGCTCAAGTTGCTGTGTATCACCTGCTGGTCCAACAGGACATATCAATCTTCCACCAGGTTTTAATTGTTTCAACAAGTTATCAGGAATTTGACTCGCAGCTGCTCCAACATGAATAGCGTCGTATGGGGCAAACTCTTCGCATCCCAATCTTCCATCCCCTTGAATTATTTTCACTTTGCCATTATTTAATAAATTAGGGTCATCAGAGTTAATGTTCTCTTTTGCGAATTCAACTAATTTTGGGTGATGCTCAATTCCAACTACAAATCCATTACTTTCAGTCGATTGTGCTTGTAAGTATCGTGAGAAACAAACAGTTAGATATCCACTTCCAGCACCAACATCTAATACTCTTGCATTTGAAGTCAGCTGTTTTTGAAGTAGTTCTAAAGCATAAGCATGCATATGAGGTGCTGATATAGTGGCTGAATATCCTATCGAACAAGGACGGTCTACATAAGGGTAAGCTACACGACAGTAAAGTTTTCTATCTGTATCTTTCATAACTTTTGCAATTATTTCACTTTTTATTATGCCATATGCTGTAAAACGAAAAAAATTAGAAATACATACATATATTTACTTTTAGAAACATTTGTACTTTGTAATTGCTCAATAAGATCTTTATTTGTTGCCCCTTCACTTCTCCAAGCCATTTTAAATCTTTTTTGCACAAATATTCTACTTTTTATACTTTTTCCCAATATTTTGAGAAGACACATCCGACAATAACAAAACCAAGCGGATGTTCTGTGAACTTATTTCGTTTTTTTCTTCGCTTTGCAGAGATTTGAAAGCTAAGTTACTTTTGATACATAAGCAGAGAGCTCTGTTTTCTCTTCGCGGAATTTGTGAGTCAGAATCAGAATCGATTTTTAATTTTTACTGCAAAAAGTATAAATTATAATTAATTGGATCTGAAAGAAAATTATGAAAAAGACTGATCGACTAACCATGGAAGAATTGAGCTTTAAACAACTTTGCAGCTTATTTTGCTGTCCGCCATGTAACAAATAAAAAGTTTATCTATTTCACCAACATTTTTATTTTTAATAAGTGCTCTTGTATACATTTTAGGTCCATCAAAAATAACTGCTAAAATGGCTTTTCTGCCTCCAAAAATAACTTATAATTTGAATGAAGTAAAGCATGAAGACGAAACAGATGGTGCCACTGATTCCAGCAGTAGTAAAAAAAATCAGGAAAATAAGAAAAAATATGAATTTGTATTTATGCCAGAATATATTGAGAGTGGAATAGGAATGGACGATGAATTTATGAAAAAACACTTTGAGACATTCTACACAAAAACAAAACGGGGAAATAAGATTGCATGTCTTTATATTCGTAACCCAAAAAAGGATGTAAAGTATACCATACTGTTTTCTCATGGAAATGCCGCTGATCTGGGAATGCTCACAAGTTTCTATTCACGTCTAGTGCATCACCTTAATGTGAATCTCTTTAGCTATGATTATTCTGGATATGGTCGATCTTCTGGACAGCCGTCTGAGAAAAATCTTTACTCTGATATTGAAGCTGCATGGGACGAGCTCATCAAACGATATGATATTAAGCATGATGATATAATATTATATGGGCAATCAATAGGAACAGCGCCTGTGGTTGATTTAGCGGCCAAATTTGAGTCAGCGGGTGTTGTTCTTCACTCACCACTGATGTCAGGAATTCGATTGTTATTACCAGTCAAGCGAACATGGATCTGTGATGCCTTTCCCATAATTGACAAAATCTCCAAAATTAAAAGTCCAACTCTTATCATTCATGGAACACATGATGAAATTATAAACTTTTCTCACGGTCTCCAAATATATGATCAATGTCAGAATGCAGTTGAACCATTATGGGTGAAAGGAGCTGGTCATAATGACATTGAACAATTCAAATCGTATTTCGAAAGACTTCAAAACTTTATGAATCACGATCTCAAAGATAAATGACATACGAAGAAATTAGATGAGAGTGATGAGAATATTTTAACAGAAGACGAAATTCAACTGAAAGATAATCTGAATGTAATTTCATCGTCAAATATTAGCAAATCATCTTCAGCTTCTCAGATTGAACAAATTAAAAAATCTGAACTTGTCGATACTATTACTTAGCATCAATTTCAACAACTGTCACAAAATTCTTCGACTTATTGCTTTTGTCAATCAACTCGATTATCTGCTGGTTACATAGCAACAACCAATGATATTATCGAAGTTAGTCTTAAATTCAAGAAAACTCATCGAACTAATGGCAATAGTATATGCAATGACTTTACTGAAAACGGCAATTTAAATTTCTTGGAATTAAATTATGATACCATCAAAAATGTGTGTTCAAACGAAAAGGTTCATCAATGCATGTGTGACTTACTTTCGCACGTTCTAGAGAAAAACCCGGTGGAGAAACATCACGAAAAAATATTTGAGAAATCTGAAAAAACTCAAATAAATGTAATACGAGACTGCGAATCCAATAATGAAATCACTGAGAAAAGACATTCTTCACATCGTTCTTCTTTAAAGTCATCACAATCAATGGAAGCTAATTTGGAAAAAATGTCATTCGATAATTTGAAAAATGTAAATTGTGAAAAGTCGTCAAAAGCAAAATCAGCTAATCATCTTAATGAAGAAAGTGACATTGGTAATGAATATATAGAGAACGGTGAATCCATTGAGTTGATTTTTATATCAGATGAGTTTATTTCTAATTCCATTCAAAAACAAGAACAAGAAATAATAGTTTTGGACGAAAAAAACGGAAAGCGAGCTAACAATAAAAAAATTGTAGTAATCAACGAAAAGTTTAAGGACAGAGTACTGCGAAATAACTCAATTGTAGTTACAAACGTAAAGAAAAAAGCAAAAACTTTAACAAAAGCTCATTCGAAAGCTTATAACACAACATCAAGCGGAATATACGATGAACCAAAACTAGAAATGGAAAGCAAAAAAATTATTAATTCAAGGAGCAGTTATAAGCTTTTGTAAATTAATTAAATTAAAAAGTGTAGGTTTAAGAAAAATCACCATTTATGTGAATTGATAACAAGTTGATAAATTTAACGCAACGGTTTATGGAATTTTAATTTTGTAGTTGCCGTCCAGCGGTTTATTCTAGAACTACCTACCGCTAATCTCAATTTTATATTTCGGAGTGGTTTAAAATATCTAATAAAATATCTAACAAAATTTTCAATATTTCATTCGTAAATAAAATTCAATAAAATGGTAAATGGTTTTTAATTTCAAATTTTTAATTCAATATCAAACTTGGTGAACATACTTGTGTAGAAATAATAACAATTCTTGATGAAATTCATCATGCCTGTTATAAGGTTAACTTTTCTATCTATTGATTTTTACTTGTACAGGCTAATATTGCAAAGCGACTAATTCCACTTCTTGATCGTGTGCTTATCCAGCGTGCAGAAGCAATTTCCAAAACTGCAGGTGGTATTGTTATTCCAGAAAAAGCACAAAATAAGGTTTTGAAAGGTGTTGTTATTGCTGTTGGACCTGGAACTAGAAATCAAGTAAATTCTATAGATAAATTCTTTAGTTATAAAACTATTGTAATCTCAAATTCAATTATTATTATCTTTAGACTGGACAAAATATTCCAATGGGTGTGAAAGTTGGAGATCAAGTGTTGCTCCCTGAATTTGGTGGCACTAAGGTTGAATTAGAGGATCAGAAAGAATACCATTTATTCCGCGAGTCAGATATACTTGCTAAATTAGAATAAATGTTAGACATTATCTCGTGCATATTAATTCTAAGTACTTGTAGTAATAAGTTTAACGATGACACAAGGTATTCAGAGAATTCTGTCAGATTATTCTGCTGCCAAATTACAGAAGAGTTTCATTTTGTCTCGAGTAATTGAATGATTTGACAGTGAAAAACTTGAAAACTTGTCTCATCGTTGGCCAAAGTCAATCCTGATTTATTCGATCTAATGTAGCAGAAACTGAATAAAAGTGAAATCATTTTTTAATAAAAATTTTTATTTGATTTTTACTTTACTGAATTTCTGTTCAATATCTTTATTATATTTACCGATTTTTTTTTTTTTGGTAAGGAGATGTTAATCTACTTAGCGCTTCAAGAATCAGCTCTCAATTATATGCATAAACATTTGAAAAAGAGCACAAAAACAGATTTTTAGTTGATAAATTCAAACCTGAATAGATAATGCACCAATGTTTTCCTATGCACTCAAGGCCTAGGAAGTTAACTGTTATTCGTATAACTAGAGGTACAAATATGAGATGGAAAAAATGCTACCTATTTAGTTTTTATTTATTTTTTTTTGCTGATGATAACTGATTGAAATTAAGAAGTGAAATGATTCATTAAAAATATTAATTATTCAAATGAAACCCATGAAATCAAATTTAGTTAGATTTATTACAAAAGAAATAATATTTTACAGATTTCACAAATTCAACGAAATTAAAGCAAACGTAACAATGTCTTCCTCCTTATCATATAGAGTTATTATAATTATCGCTTTTTAATTCATTATTGTGTGATTTAACTTTAAATTGCTTATCTATCACTTATAAATCCTCAACAATGAAACGGCAATAGACTTTAGCGTTAATTCTACCCAATCTGTGTTCAACTTGCATTTTTATGAGATCGTAAACCTTAAAAACCATCCTTTTCAAATGTGTGAAATTAAAGCATTAATGTTGAACTTTTATTTTAAAATAAATTTTACATTTCGTTTTGGCACATCCTTTCTTGCCGATATTGAGTTTATAAGAGCAGATATCTAAAAAAGTTAAGTTGTTTTCTTTTTAATTGATTAATAACTTTTTGATATTTTCAATGTATTCTGTAGAACATCACTTTCTTCTTATTCTCCCTTCATATTTTTCAATTTTAAATTAAATATTTTCTTAGGTATTTTTTTTTTGATATTCAAAGAAGCTTCCTTTAAATAAAATATAAGAAAAAAATGTTCTAGTAAATACTTGTAAGTAGATGATTAAATATAGATCATTTGTAGGATATGTAAAGATAATTTATTGATACTTGCCTGATATTTATACAGAAATGGTATTAATAAATAAAAAGAGAAATATTTTTTTTGCTGCACTTGGTAACTTCTAATTGTTATTGGCTCGAAGTTTTGGAGAGTTTAAGTCATCTTATGAGCTCTCTGTATTCTTAACTATCAGTGGATATGTTGAATAGGCAGTTTCGGAATCTAGAGATTATTTTAATGCAATCAGAAAATTGAAACTTAGAAAGAAAAAAGTTATACCTAGACTACTTTCTCTGGTTCCAAATTTAGTTCGGTAGGTACTCACAGCAGCATTGTTAGTACTCGTTGTGCTTCCAACTTCTGAACCACGTTGTAAAATTGGCTCAATTTGTTTGAGCATTGTTTCCTCAGACTGTCTTGAGTTTTGATATTTTAAATTCTCAATGGAAGCCTTATATGATCGCTGCTTTAAGAAGCGTTCATGCCTCTCATGACTCATTTGAGGTGAAATAGATTTGTATACCTTATAAGTTGAAACATCAGCTAAACCATCAGCCTTAAAAAAAAAAAAAATTAAGAAATTTAAAAGATATCACAATTCAATATACTCACGGGTATTACGCTTATATCTGAAATCCCTGACCCCGTGTCACTTCCTAAAAGTTTCTCGCTTTCCGGGTCAGATATTAACTTTGCATCCGATCTATTTTTCAAGATGGATTTTGATCTTTTATGCATATCTTGGGAAGAATCTATAATTAATAAATAATGAAATTATATTTATGATTTATAATGAACTTTTGGTCTTTGCAACAAACCTTTGGCTTGAATACCAAACAAATGCTGATTAATGAGCTGTTTTTTAGCTGCTGTTATTAGTTTACTCGATATAAATGATTGCTTACGATTTGATTTATTGCTGTTACTACTATTTTTTGTCACTGAAGTTTCCAAATTTTCATTCGAACTCTCATTTTCAATTTGTCTCTTTGACCTAGATTTGATGCTTTCCCATTGATATTGTTGCTGTTGCTGTTGTTGAAATCTTGTTTTTCGATGTTTTGGTAAAGGACTTTCATTGAGAGAAGCTTCACTTCGAAAATAATCAGGTAAACCTTGGTTTTGATCTATACTTCGGAAACCTGTGTCCCCAGATGAACTTTTCTTAACAATTCCCTGTGGAATTTGACTGTGATCTTTTGGTATGCTTCCGCTAAACATGCTGCTTCCTCGTAATAGTGTACTGTTAGAATTTTTATTGAGTGTATTTATGTTTAAATTATCTAAATCGAGTATATTTAAGCTGCAACCATTTTTGTCATCATCTGCAGACGTAAGATCATTTTGAGATAAAAATGCATGTGTTTGACAGCTCATGAAAGTATCGGTGCTTCCAACACTGGCAAGATCAGCATTATTGCTATTATGTGAATTTCGGTTTTCACTCGAGGTTTCATTGTTGTTGGTAGTATCAGTTGAATCTCTTTGCAGTGTCTTTGATTGATCTTTTGATTTCTCCCAGAATCTTTCTTTGTTTTCAATTGATGAACAACCTTCTTTATTGTTAATTTCCATTTCCTTAAAATCATCAATTGGTTTAAAGTTAAACTTTCTTTCGCTCAACTGTTCAGTTGTTGTATAGTAGTTTTTAGATTTTATTCCACCATTGCAGAGATTTAAAATATTCATAGCTTTTGTGAGTCGCAATTCCATACAAACTGTTTTGTGTAAGTCTGACGTATTTAGAGGCATCAAACCTTCCGCATCGATGCTTTCTTTGAAATCCTTTAATGAAAATTATCGGACAATGTTTTTATGTTTTAGATCAGAAAAGCAAAACTTGATTTTCAATGTGTATATGTAGCTTTAATTTCTCAATGAAGCAATGAATATTCTTATTTTTCATATATTCATATCAACATGCAGACTATGCAACAAAAAAGAAATGAAATTAGATACTTTTATATTCTCTTTCACAATTTAATGATTGGTTTTTTATAAATTATATAAATAAAATTTTATATAAAGAAAATGGAAATTAAGTTTCTATAAGGTTTTATAAGTAACATTTTACCACAAAACTCTTGCATTTGGAATATTCAAGCTGTATTAGAAGCAGTGTTGGTCCCAGACATTGGAAAATGTCTGAGAAAAACAAAGCCAAAGGCATTTAATTGGCCCAAGCTCATGGAAATAAAGGAAAATAAATAAAACTTAAAACAGCATTAGTGCTTCTATTAATTAAAACTCACCTGCGATTTATAAAATCAATAATATGAGCGTAAAGTGGAGATAACAAAATAATCTCTTATATGTGAAGTGTAATGAAAATAAGATGGAAAATAACTAAACACTATATGACCTCTGTCGCCCAAAATTTCCTCCATCCTAATAATGAACACAAATTAAACAAGAACTAAATTAATAAATTCTAATTAAAAACATAATAAAAAATAAATTTAAAGTCGGTGTAAAGAATTCCTCAAGAAAGATTGTGAATTATAAATTAATTATCTAATACCATCTAAGTAGATATTAAATTTTTTAATAAACCAATAAGTTGATGCTTAAAATGAAAATAAACATTTCCTACTTAAACAAAATTTCATATCTACAATATTATAAAATTTGATACCTTGCAAGGTTTTTTTTAAAAATTGTAAAGGGAAGAAAATTATTATCCATAATTTTAAACTCACATCTGATGAACAAATACAGCATTCAAATTCAGATGGCAATACAATTTCTTGCTTTTGAGATGGTTTGATTTCTTTTAATTGTCTTTCCATCGCTATTTCTTTCCTCAACTCTTCAACTTCCTGAAAATAAAGCATTAAAATTTAATTTTTTTTATTGTATTTTCATGCGATCATTTTAACATTTATTATGCTTAAATAATTTAAGTAAATTCACTTACTGATTTTGAAACTCTCATAAAAGGTTCAGTTTTGGTTTCAATTTCGCCCTCTATCAATTGATTGTCTGCACCATCATTTTTATTCATTTGTTTATTTGACTCGGTGCTCCATTGTCTATGTGTTTTAAAACTAGGTGAGGGATGAAATTCAGCTTCAATCGTTGTAGGTTTCTACAAGAAGTGAAGAAAAGCAGCTAATTTTTTTTTCTTTGCAGACTAACAAATATTTCCATACTTGTTGCGGAAAATGATTCTTTCTTTGTCTATATTGCTGGTAGTTTTTATAGCATCCTTGTCCAGTATTAGCAGGATTTTTGTCAGACCCATACTCCGAATCCAAATCCCCCTGCGATAAATTATGTCCTGTTCCCGACGACACCGAAAAGCCCCGTAACGCACGTGAATCAGTGTCGAAGCCAATTTATTTATAAACGAGTGTTCAATTAATGCATATTTTATGTATGAATGTGTTTTTATTTATTTTTATTTTCGGAATATTGAAAATTAAAAATATTTCAATAAAATAAACACCTCAAAATGAAAGTCGATACAACAATTCATATTTTCACATTGGAAACAACCACCCGAATATATTTTGAGGTTTTTAAGAGAAGAAATCATAGAAAGAAATAAAAGAAAATAAACACAATTATAACTAGGTAGATATCTCATCGGGAATATTCAATAATCACAAATTAATATTAAAAGCAAAAAATATTTTTCGGGGAAATTTCGGTGAAATAATTTATTTTATCATTTTTCTACACTGCTACAAAATATGTCCAACTTGATCAGCATAGTCGAAACATGTATTTATAAATTAAAATGGTTTAGATTCTAAACTTTAGAATGAAAGTACTTTTTGAAATTGATTGATAAATTAAGGCATTTATTAGATTTTTTTAAAGAGCTACGTCTTAATAAGAGCTTTCTATACATCCTAAAATTCATTAATTCTTAAGGGTGACATAGTTTAAAATACTTTTTTTACGATTTCTATTTTTTTCATACCTAAGTCCCTAGCAATTGTAACAAATTATCGTTTTATAAATAGCGATGTTCATTCTTAACTACCTTTTTATTCGCCACGATCTTAATATTTTTGTTTTGAATTTTATAATATATTTCGGATTAAAACTGTGTCTGAAATTATGATATGAAACATCAATGTTCTTCTTCTTATGAAAACTTTAAAAAATAAAAAAACTTTTTTTTTCATTGTGTAACATAATGTTATCTACAATAGATGTACATATCCGCTCTGGTAAGCTAGGAAAAAGTCTTCAATTATTTCGGTTAATCACGCAGAAGGCAGGAATTGAGCTTGTAGATGTCGAGCGAAAGATTAGATTGACACTGTTGGAGATGTTGTGTCAATGAGATCACATTTGTCACCTAAATGATAACAGGTATGTTGGGATTTTAGTGAATATTTAAATATCACTTCAAGTGATCAAATGATTTGAAATGAATAGCGAATAAATCAACTGATGATTAAATTAAAATTTAATTAATCGAAGCTTGATCATTTATTTCGTTCCTATAAACTAAGGAAGTTCTTCTAATATAATATCTATCTTGACTTTTAAAAGCCCAAAATCAAATTAAAAACGAATTTCTAAAAAAAAAGAAAAGAAAATGTGGTTTTTTAAGTATTCTAAACTATAAAATAATAACTTTTGAAGAAGCTGATGAAAAATTCAGTTGAACTTCAGGTACTCTGTATAGTACTAAATCTAATTTAAAACATGAAATGTACTGTGATATATTTGAACAAAATTTTTGTTGCAAATTTATGCCTTCTAAGTAGATTTTAATTTTTCTTAAAATTTAATAAAATGATGAGTAACCAAATTTGCATTATTATATTATAGCAATATCCTCAGTCAGTGTTATAAATACTTTTTATAATAAAAGACATGTAAAATATACGTAACTTGTTTTTTACATAGGTAATTTTAAAATAAAATTCTTTCAAAGGAAAATATCGACATATAGGTAAAGAAAACGCCAAGATTGTTTGCAATTTTGACACCGAGATTTCTGACATAAAGAGAATGATCAATTGCGCTGATGTTCATTTTATAAAATCGTTCAGCCAGATAAAGATTGCTTACCTGTGTCAACTATAACATCAATAAGGTCCATACTTTTGGCGAAAGCATCGCGAAGATTAATATGATGAAACGAAACAATACTCCCTTCACGTTTAGCACGATCCAATGCTTCACGTCTCTTGAGGGCTTTTTCTCGCCGCATTTGATTTTTATAAAATTCAGCGAAATTATTTACAATAATAGGAATGGGCAATGCGATTACCAATACGCCGCAAATGCAACACACAGACCCAATGACTTTTCCGAGAGGGGTCGTCGGGCATATATCGCCATACTAAGTAGGTAATTTCATTTGCAAATGTTTAAAACAAATTAATATAGTGTAGAATAAATTAGATTTTAGACAGAAGCAACTATTTTCTAATTGCTTCATTGAAACTAGCGCGTGAAATAAAAGTGAAATTAAATCCAAAACGAAGCATGTCCAAAATCTAATTTTTTTTAGCAAAACCTTTACTACCCACCCCAACAGTTGTCATTGTAATGCCAGCCCACCAAAAGGTTTCTGGAATCGAAGAGAATTTGGTTCCAGGCTCATCTTTTTCAGCAAAATATGCTAAAGATGAGAAAATAAGCACACCCATGGCTGAAGGTTCGATCATCAAGTGTATGGATAAATCAAAAATGAGAAATGTCATTACATTTAAATTGTAGGTAAAATCTGGTTTGAAGTTAATTGAAAAGGAATCAAACAGTAATTCTCCAGAAGTTTATTTAAAATCTAAGTAAATATCTACGTAAATGAAAAAAAACTGCAGAAATCTGTTCGATTCAACTTTTAACTATCAGAAAATTTACCCAAAAATAACATTAATAAACCAAGTTCTTTGTAGGAGTTTCTAAGTGTAAAGCCAAGTGATTGCAGGCCCGTAGAGTGTCGGGCCAGCTTAAGGATTCGAAGGATGCGCATAATTCGAAAGACTTGCACAACCCTCCGCACATCTTGGAACTGGTCCGTAGCATTTTTATTGGTTTCCAAAAGAAAAAGCGATACAAAATATGGAAGTATTGCCAATAGATCAATAATGTTAAGCCCGCCTTTAAAAAATTTCCATTTATCTGGCGATGCGCTGAAACGCAATATATATTCTAGGGTGAACCATGTGATGCAGACAGCCTCAACCATAGCTAGGTCGTGATTATCACCTGCTGCCACACCATTATGATTATGATCCTTTTGTTGGACCGCAGGTATAGTGTTAAGAGTTAACGCAATTGTCGATAAGACAATGAAGAGAATAGATATCACTGCAATTACCTACAATTCAATAGTATTAAATTTAATACTTATATCATTAAATAGTTTTGTTAATACTCCAATTTGAGGAGCTAGTAATATTAAGAAGAGAATGAAAAATATGGAACCAAAACCATGAAATGTAAATGTGCAATACTTATTAGGCTTTTAATAAATGTCGCTATTTAGCAGTTAGAACAAATAAGAATAAAGATATGTGACACAATATTTAAAGCAATGGAAAGACATTTTTATGAATGATTATTTATAATTAATATACAAGTAACAATAGGTTGAGTAATTTAAACGTAGAAAACAGTTGTTAGAATGAAATTTAGACTTAATTATGAGATTTTCTTTCTCTTTTTATGTTGAAGTATTGCACAATCATGATGGATAAAGTCAATTAATGTTGGACGAATAGTATATTTCATTTTAAATTTTAAATTATTCAAAAAATGATCAAGAGACTTCGATGAACGATTAGAATCAACTGTTATGAACTACAGTTAAACTTACAAATCGTTACTCAGAGTGGATCCTTTGCATTGAATTATTCACTTCAAATTTATTTATTCAAACTGAATAATATACAACTTTCATATCCACTCCGCGAAGTCATCATAAGTTTTTTTGATAATTTTGCAACTTATGGTCATATCGCATTAGCCATTCCTATTAAATTTCAATATTTTTACATCGAAAGATTGATATATTTGCACTGCATCTCACGTTTCATGATAATTATCTTTGATTTCGTGATGAACAAAGATTCATAAACGTTTCAACAGGAACTGTCAAGAAACTCAAAATAAATATGATTTAACAAAATAGATTATATTTATCCATCCAATAGATAATTGTAGTCAAAATTCTTATACCGACATTATTCATATTTCATAAGGAGAAATTTTTTGAAGATTTTCAGAAAATAAGAAATGTAATAAAATAAGAATTATTTATGTTTAATTTGAATTGTGATCATTTTGCAAAGTTATTTACATTATCTGTACATATGTACACAAAAATAAGAATTAAAGAAATTGAAGAAATTTAGGAAAAGAAATTTATACTTAAAAGTAAAAGATGCAGATTCAGTAAGTAAATACCTACATACGAATTATGTAAAAAAGTTTTAGAAATCAAGAAAAAAACATAAAGAATATTTTTTATTAAGAAAAGATAAATTAGTAAATTTAATTAAAATTGTATTATAAATGCACTTATTAATCAGCATATCTAATCAGACAATATATGTAAATCAATCAAATACACAAGCAATATATGTATTTACATGAAAAGGGGTTGAGGGTTTTGAATTGAATAACCAAGCAATTGAAAATGAGCTTACCCTTGCAGCTAAACTAGAGGTGGGTTTCTCAAGCATATCCCATAAATACTTTTGATATTGAGCACATTTACCATCTCCAAATTCTTCCTCTTCACGCTGACGGAGACTTTCAGCCTCCTTTCTCATCTCTTCATGTACATGCTCTTTTCGTTGATGATATTTATGTTGACAGCATGATTCTAAATATAACTCGTCAACTCCCCAATATTCTAAGTCATCACTGAAAGCAAGCACGCACAAATCGTCAACTAAATGCAGCTTTCCCGTTCGATAAAAATTTAAAATTGAACTAAAACTTTTGGGATGTCTGTCGAAAAAATATTCGTTGTCTATAAGCGAGTAATCATCACAAAGTTCTGATATAGCTTCATGTGTATTGCAGTCCTTTAAACGACCCAATCTTGTATGCGGAAGTCGTTCAAGTGTTCTCCAGAGAACTTCATGTTTAACGCCACCAACATTTATAAGAACACGTCGATTGAGCGTTTTCGAACGCATAATCATAAACGGTTCTGGTGGAAGTGATGACATAGATCTAGAATTTTTATTTTCATATAAATGTAAGTATAATAATACCGAATATAAATTTTCTTATAGTGTGGAAGTTTATGTGCAAGAATTTCCCTACCTAGATTGCGTTCCCTGTTGCAAAAGCGTTTGATATAATTGACCATTGGAATGTTCATTTGCAGAAGATATGTTGGGAAAGTGTACCCCTTTTTCTGTTGTTCCATTAAATCCACCCGCCATGCCTTCGATACCGAAATTTTGATCATCGTCCCATTGTTCGGTTATGTCTTTACCATCATTGTTTCCACCTTTTGTCACATAATGAAGATTATATTGCAAATTGTTGTTGTTAAATGGTGGTGGAATAGAAATCGCTGCAGTTTCATCTTGATCCCATCCCAGCACATTTTGATCGCTACCGTTTTCGCCAATCATACGGGTTCTATTTTACTCAAAAAGGACTTTTTAGTTTCTTTCAGCATAAGAGTTAGGTTGAAATCACTCTAATACCTTAGTTGTTAATGTTCTACTTAATTCAAGTCATCACATTGGGAATTCAAGGAAAACTTCCGGTTTATCCTGAATCATCATCATAACTAATCTTTATGCCAATTAGTTAACACTTTTTCGAATGTTCAACAACCTATTTTGTTTATTTTAGTCTTCTACACTGAACTTGTTTTCTCATATTTTTGTTATCATAATAGGGTGGTATCTTTTTGTCTTTTCTGATATTTCTCTGTCACTGTTCAATGTAAATATTTTCTGAAAGGAAATTGCAGTTGATATGGAATAAGAAATATTTCGTAACATTTTAATCACTTAACTTGTTTTTAAAATTCAAAACTTTTTTTGGCAGAAGATCATTTTAGATTGTATAATTGTTTCAACATTAAAAAAAATTGAGATGCCTATTGTATTGATCGTCTCAATTTTAAAATTAGGTAAGCAAAACTTTCAAATTAGTATTAATCATTCGTAAATAAATTTATATCATTCTTAATCTTAAATCTAAGTACCTACTTCCATTAAATCAATAAAAATAATAAACACCGTTGAATTCTAACTCAAAGAATCAATAAGAATTCCTTTCACTATGTTGATTTCTACTTTAGAGAAAATAATCTTGCACTGAAAACCATAAAGATATGGTAAATCGAAACAGTAATTTAAAGCACATTTTCAAGGAGAAAAGGAATAGAAGGTAATATAGACTTTGGAAAAATCAATCATTTAAAAGAAGGTTATCTTAGCAGTAATAAGAAAGATAACAACTACTGCAGGTAACATATATTTAAATACGAAATCTGCACAGGATTTTCTTTTTTCTTGAAATGTTCTACAACATTTTTCTTTACATTTCAACTTCAATTATTTTATCCACTTTCTCTTGATAAAAATTCATTGTGCAATTTGGATCCACAAAGCTTCAATTATACAAGTTTTGTTTTCTTTTTCATAAAATTTCCTCCTCTGATTTTACCTTCTTTTCTAAACAGTTTTTAAAATTATTTGGAGTTCTTTTATCTGATGTATGCTTTATAGTTCATTTTGCTTTTTTTTATTAACATATTAATAATTAAAGAAGTACTGTAAACTTTATATTTCGGTTTGGGTGGAGAAAAGTTTTACACTGTTTCGTGGCAGCAGAGTTTTAACGATAAAAGGTTTCTCATTGAGGACGTGATGACCATGACGTCATTGTTTTGGCACATGCGCTTTTCTTTTCCTCTCTTTAGCTTTTCTTTTTCATTTTTTGATTTACTATTTTCTCGTATTTAGATCATATGCCTGCATACGAAAGTTTAAATATAAATATGTAAGGGCGCTTAATGTAATAATAAAGTAACATAAACTGAAAATATATTGAAATAAAATTCTATTACATGTTTGTATTATTTTTACTATACCTTTGAAAATTACACATAAGATTTCTTTGGCTTAAGAGAGAAAGCAAAAGCATTAAGCTTTTGAATTCTATTATACTTTTAAGCATATCAATTAAGAGCCAATAATTAACTTTATAAAAATACAATGGCTAACTTGAATATCTTCACACGAAATTGTATTTAATTTAATGTCTGTAATAAATCGATAAAAATTGACCGCTTTTCTATCTTAAATAGGTATATAATAATAATGTTTACTTTTCATAGTCTCACAGTAGATAATCAATCTCGCAACAAATGTGAGAGAAGAAACAAAGAAAGAATACAAGGAGTTTGTATATTCTACATTTTATGAGGTTTTATTAAAAGTCATAATGATTTACAATTAACTACGAGCGTGAGGCTTACTTGAATTTTTATTGTTATCCGGTGGTGTATAAAGTTTCTGATTAATTTTATTGAATTATATTTAGCCTCTAAGAAAGACAATAATTTAATTGAATTTAATTAAATCTAACTCAATTTAATTCTTTATATAAGTAGATAGGTATCTAAATTTTTTAAAAGAAATTTTAAAAATAAATTCAGGTGGTTTGACTTTTACGACGACGTTTCATACTATTTTTAGTTTTCACGGCCACTCTAAAATCTTAAAGAGAACAAGGGAAGAAATGAAATAACTACACGTTTGCTGAAATATCTCTCTTAACTCTTAATGCTTTGCCACGTTATTTATAATTCATTCATTTTAAATTAAGCTTTAAATGTGTAGCTAAGTTTGTTCCGTCAATAACACAACTTTAAAAGTTTTTCGAGATAAAAAATCATGGTTTTATTTTTCAACAAATAATTTCTTTCTTATTTTGTTTTTTAAGAAGGAAAAAGAAAATGAGAAGTCAATATCTCTAAATGTCGGATCTTTTTATGTTTTTCTCCATTGCATTTGTCGCTCGTGGAAAAATTTAATCAACACATTTTATAAGAATTTCTCTCTGACCAGCTGTTGAACAATCTTGTTAACTCATTTTTAGTTCGCGAACGTCACCTGGTTATTACATATATTAAAAGTGCCGGTGAATTTTAACTCATGTTTTTCTATTAATTTTTGAATTTAACAGTGAAATTCTTGTGACATACAATTTTTTTTATTATTATTTTAATGATTAGATCGTTATTAAAGATACATCACAGATCTTTTACTAAATTTTCACTAGTTAAAATATTGAAAGAAATAACATCTGTAATGAATCACACATCTTTACAGTTAATAATTCATCAACAACTGACCTGATCTATTAATGTTTACGTTCATGTTCATAATTTTGGAGCACTCATTTTTTTAAAAATCAATAAAGGAATTTTTTTATGTTCTCTTTCGTTGTTAGAAGAATATTTCTTTGATTACAATTTTATGTAAACAATCTTCATCAAGAGTTACGAGCTCTGATACTAATTCAAATCTCATTATGTTAAACGCATATTTTAAAATCATTATTGCTTTTAAATTTTTGAGAACTTTATGAACAAATGTTCTAAATCTGAAAAATTTCATTTTTCAACATTTTCATACACCTACACATCCACAAACATTTTTATGAGAATGCGAAAAAAATCCTTTTGACAGCATCACATTTTTCAATTATTTTCAAGAGACATTCCGATGATATTTTGAATGATTTCAATATAAGATAATGATCATTTAATTCAAGTTAACACGAAAACAAGTGGTAAGAATGACTAATAAATTTTTCATCAATTCTGATCAGTTGACGAGTAACGTCTGAAGGTCCCCACGATTATTGAAGGACTGAGAAGATATTCGAAGTAAAGTTTGTTTTCGTATGAGAACACAAAAAAGTGAGAGTTTGGTGAGAGGGAAATTCTTTCTTTTTTATTTGTTTTTATCAAGTAGGTATCAATAAAATATATTTTCAAATCAAAAAGAACACAAGAAGATATTTATAGAACCAAAAAAAAGGATTACACGAGGCTTATGAAGTCGATAAAAAAAATATTCTGTATATAATTTTAAAATATATATTTGAATTGTTTGAAAACTTCATAATTTTTCATGATCATGGAAATATAAATGAAAAATTGATCACGAGTTCAGCGGTGCTGACTGATGAATCAGATCCTAGAAGAAAAAAAAATGCAATTTTAAAGATGGAATATGGATTAATGTCCAAGTTATCTAAATTCATACTACACTAAATAATTGTGAACGTTGTTTGTTTAATAAAACTCAAACTTCTTCCTTTCACAATTAAAAATTTATTTCTTGATAGAATATCTAATTCAATCATTATTTAAATTTTAAACATGTGGATAACATCCATTATGAAAAGTCAGTTGCGAATAGCAACTATCTTGTTTATATCTGAAAACAATTTACATTAAATTTTTTACACAGTATAAAGATTCATCTGCAGTTTTCTCTATTTCTACTTCGTTTTATTAAATATGTTTTGGGGTATCAGCGAAACTAGAGATTTTCTTGACGAATATATCAGCGGGCTCAAGATTAAACCTGAGAAAATGAACATTTTATTCTACGGCCTTGGAGATCCTGGACACATTTTGAAAACCATTTCAAAAATGCTTCAGAGCAATAATAAGAACATTGAAATTAATTTCTATATATTGGAAGGATGTGCTGAACTTATAGCAAGAGATATGTTACTTCTTACAATTCCTTTGGAGAATCAAAAAGATTTTTCGGTTAATGCGAGAACTCATCTATTCATGGATATTTTCGGAAATAGTTTACTTCGCTCTTCCTCAAGTATGTATTTGAATTCCAAAAGTGAAACTTTCATTAAAATGGTCACTGACAAAACCTATGCTCAACAAATCATGCCAATTTTTAATATCGAGGAGCTCAAGTATAAAGAACGAGATCAAATTGAGGTAAACTGCCCCCATTTGAATATCAGATGCGTTTCTTAACACATCTTTTTTATTAATACTTGCAGCATGCTTTCACGTTTTGGAAAAATAAGAACGAACACGTTTTTGATATTCAAAATTATTGGAGAAGTCAACTTCAAATGCAATTAAAAGAACGCTTCGATTATCGTGATGGTGCCTATGATTGGGATTTACAAATGAAATTACGTCAATATGGAGCAAAACAAATTTGTCCACAAGAATACAGACACTGGCGAGAGTTTGGCGTTGCTTTTGCTTTTCCCGAATTTGATTATAGTATCCCAAATAAAACTTTTGCGGTAGATTTACGAAAAATTGGAAATCAATGGTTCCACAGAGGATATGTTGGTGACATGAACGTCGGCCCTTTTATAACATTTGGTATCGAGCATTCTGACGAAAAAATGTTAAACTCTAACTTTGGCGTAAATCAATGTCGATCAACTGATATTACAGAACGAAATATTTACGAAATTATTTGGGAAATTCAGAATGAAAATCTCTTCGATTCAAAACACGATTCTAAAAATTTTCGTCAATTTGGTGGAACACAATTAGATTATGGCGTTGAGCACGGTACACTCGAACGAGCTGATGATCTCAAATTAAATTTACTCACGTATAACAAACCTTTGAAGACAATTGAAAATGTTAGAATTCATTTTCTGACCATAAATGATATTTACGACATTACAAAGAAGCAGACATTTTGCAAGAAATTTGATATTGTATTTGTATCTCACAACTTTTTTGTATTTCTTAATGACATGTTTAAAAATCTTTTGAGTGAAAACTCAATAGTTCTCTTTGAAACCAAAAAATATTCCACAATGAAGTTGAGTGATATCAAGGAAGAGATTCAAAAAATTATCGACTACTGCAAGAAATTAGATTTAAAACCGATTACAAATTTCTCTTTAAATATTGTCAATTCTATTTTAAAGTTTAAAAATGTATAAAAATTTAGATATTATATTTTTCTTCAAAAATGTTTATTAAACACAAAGAGCAGAATTCATAATAGATAAGGATATAACACTGCATGACACTTTTATAATCTGCCAGTAATAGCATTTGTGATCATTACTGAGGCTATGCATTATGCCTATGAGAAATTTACTCTTTTATTCAAAATATACATATCTACTTCTCTTGAACATTTATCCAGCAATAACTAGGCACTTATTTCTCTTAAAGGATTTTCCAGAGATTCCTTCAATTTCGTTATTTTTGTTTTTAACATTCCAAGTCCAGCGTCTTTACTGGCATATAAACAAAGTAAAAGATTGGCAACCTTAAAAAACATAATATTAAATAATAAATTAGATTCTACGTGAAATCAGGTTTGGATTCTACCTGACTGACGATGACTTTTCCACTTTCACAATTTATAACAAGAAACTGAAGACGATCTTCTCGAAATGAGTTATGACCGTGTTTCTCATATGCTGTCCAAACATTACTTGCTATGGCGGAGGTGATTCTTGCATCTCGATCATGAAACCCACTGAATGCAAGAAGTGCTCCTTCCGAGTTCAGTAAACTTTATTGGAAATAAAAGTTTTCTTTATTTACAAATATGTGAAAACTTAAATATAGAATTATCTTACAGAGTATTCTCAACGCCTCCTGTATTTGCCTGACTAAGAACGTTCGTAAGAACTTTTGGTTTTAACATTTCACGAAGCAGGTATGTTATATTCTTTATCGATGTATAAAATTTATACTTTCTATCTTTGTTTTCGATATTGTTGAATCAGGGCTTTCATCCTTGAAAGTGATATGATTTTCGAAAAAACTTCTCTCATTCGATTTCGAAAAATGATTCGAACTCTCAAAATATTTACAATTTGAAGACATTGTCAAAAAAGGATTTTCCGTGATATTCCTTTATTTCCTTGTTATTATTTAAGGCAGATATTATATTATGAGATCTTAAAATGTGGTTTGACAGTAGCTCGATAGCAAATCTCGCTAAAAACGCGTTAAAAGAAGGTGACGACAATTTATTTTTGCAATTTATTGCGTGTCATTTTTTAAAGTTACATTTACATCTTTGATAACCGTAGCACAAAAGCATATCGACAATGTTTTGGACATTAAAGAGGATCAGGAAACTGAATCCATCAGTGATGATTGTAAAATAGTCAAGAGTAAAACGATGTCTTCTATTAATGAAAACATTAACAAAGAAGAAGGGTCAAAGGAAGTCTCTGGTTGGGAATCATTTAATGAGAATTTTTATGAGGATAAGTCAACGTCATCACATCCAGTAACAAATCCGCCTCTCGTGATATGTGATCGAAGCTCTGGTATATTTCAATTTATACTTTTCTATGTACTTTTGAAAGTAAAGGATTTACGATTTTTGATTTCTATAAATATTTTATTTAGAATCTTTGGATATTATTAGTAGAACGCCATCAAGTCTGCCATCACCCTTAGATCAACAGGATAGTAATTCAAGATCAATATTGCATCTATCAGGACCAAATTCTGGTGATGATTCAGTTGAAATCATAAATAAAACATTGTCAATTGTAGAAATGTCGTCGTCTAGTCAATGTTCACCTGAACGGACAGAAAGTATAGAAGATGATATAAGTAATATTAACATGTCCCCTGATGAAGTTTCAAGCAGCAACCCAACAACAATTCTCCCATCAAAAGTAATATTGGCCAATCAACAAGATATTGATGGAACTGCCAATACTTTGTCACTTTCCGACAATACTTTAACTAATTCTGAAACTGACAGTTTTTATGACCCCTCTAAAGAAGAATTAGATCAAGCAGCAAAAACAACTACCAATGTCATGGATAAATCAATTGAAAGTTTTGAAATTCAAACACAAGTGTCAGATTCAACACACAGTTTCGAAGAAATTCAGCATCCATCCAAAGCAAAACTTTTTACTGACGTTGCAAAATGTGATGAAAGGAAAGAGTCTTCCGGTGATGAATTAGAAACTGCCACATCATCAGATATTGAGATAATAAGTTCACCAAACTGCGATTCAAGTAGCACAAATAGCTGCAGCAAAATAAGCCCAAAATCTGATTTTCCTTACCAAAATTCTGATTTATTATTGGAAGATTTGAACTTAGATAGAAAAGGCCATAGTCGAGAGTTATCTGAAGTGTCCGTTTTGAGTTTAATAAGTGATGAATCCCTTGGATCGCCTGTGGAGACGGAGAAACTTCTAAAACGCATAAGCGAGCTTATGGAGACACTTGAACAACGTGAATACAAGATGGTTCAAATGGGGAGAAGTAATGCTGAGCTTGTTGAAATCAATGCTCGATTAACGAATGAGCTGGACGGTACGAGAAGAAATTGCAATAGCTTAGAGATGACAAATGTACAAGAAGAGTACACGCAACGCTTATCGGCTTTAGAAAAAAAATTTCAACAATCAATTCGTGATAATGGTTCATTAAAGAAGCAACTTGAGACATTGAAATCTGAGATGAGCACAATGGTAAACAGAATTGATTACGAAAAATTTACTTCGGAAAAAGATTTTGTAATCGAAGCATTAAAAAGTGAAGGTGAAAAGCTTTCAAAGCAAATTTTACAACATTCCAATGTAATCAAGAAACTTCGATTCAAATTGAAGGAAGACGAAGAAAAGCTAAAAATGCAAAGCGATGAAATTGCGCAATTAACAGAAGATAACCAAAAATATAAAAAAACGTTAGCAACAAGAGAAGAAATAGAAAAATCACAAAACGAAGGAATAAACAAGTTAACGACTGAGAAAAGACGACTTGAAAAGGAAAATCAACAGCTTAAGAGTCAAAATGAAGATTTTCGAGAAAAATTAGCAGTTCTTCAAACATCTTTTGATGTACTGAAAAAAGAATCGAGTGAAAAAAGTGATGAAATTGTAAAGAATCTTGAAGTGAAACTTGACAATGAAAAAGATAAAAATCAACAGATAATGAGAGAATTATCTGATTTAAGACTAAAGATTCGTGAAATAGAGTCATTGGCAATAGCTCGAGAACAGAAATTACGACAGGAAAATATTGATTTGAAGCAGAAACTTGAAGAAACTGAATTTAGGATTGAAGATCAGAAACAAGAAGCTTCTCTTTCTTCAATCCCTTTAATTAAACAACTTGAATCATTACAGACGACACTAAATGTACGAAGTAAACATTGGGAAAGTCAAGAGAGGACTCTCTTGGATAAGTTAGAAGTATCTGAACATCAATTATCATCTCATTTGGAAACGGAAAGAAATACTAAAGATCAATTTACTCATTTGCATTTGAAGATTTCAAATCTTGAAGAAAAATTGTCTAAAGCAAATCTCAAAGTTGAGCAATCGACTGGACAATTACAGCAAAAAGAAATTGAATTCAATCTCCACGAAAATGAAAACAAATTGAAAATTGATCAATTGAAAATGGAACTGTCAACTAAATCAAATGATATCGAGAACCTCAAAATTCTTTTAACAGAGACCGAAGAAAAACTGCGAATCCTACGTGAGGAATATGACAAAGATAAAAAGAAGCTGTCTTTAAATCTTCATCAAGATCATCGTTCATTCCATCATATAGAACATCAAGAATCACAAGAACATGAGCAACAAGGAAATTCATCACCAGTTCCTAGTCTTGGAAGTATTGAATCACTTCATTCTTCTCATCCTTGGAATAAGGTAAGTAAATATAATTCACCTACTGTCATATGTATTTAAATTAAATTAAATGGGTACTTTTCTATCTACATCAAGGACTTCAACGAACCTGGATTTAATTCTATCTACAGTAGTCAGTATGGTGGAGTCGTATCATCTACATCTCTAATGGAAGGACTTCAATCTGTACTTAAACAACGGGAAGGTGAAATACAACAACTCCAATGGGAAATTAATCGACTACAAACTGAAAAGAATTTTCTTTCTGATGAGATAAGCACGTTAACTGTTGAATTAGAAAAGGTAAAAATATTTTGAAGCAAAGTAGCAGAAAATTGTTTTTTGATCTCGTTCATTTTTCACTTATTTGGTTTTATTTAATTCAATTGATTGAATGTTTTATCATATTCATAGTCTATGAATTTTTTAAAACCAACATTAGATAGAGTTAATGACTAACTAATAAATACTAAATAAGTATTTAATTTTACAATTTTATTTAAATAGTTGACAGAAGAAATTAAGGATTATGCTTTGAAGCAAGAGAAGTTTGAAGAAGTTCAAATTCATTACGACGCCGTCCTTGAAATGTTTGGACAAAAGGTGAGTAGCAATTCTGTGTATCTGTTAGACGAGTGTTTCTATTTTATGATTTCATGATAGGTTGAAGAATATGAAGAGTTAAAACTTGATCTTGAGGATTTAAAAACAATATCTCATATTCAAAAGACGCAGATCGATGACCTAACACAAAAACTTAACGATATAAAACCAACATGAAAAAAAGGTGCAATAGCGTTTAATCTTAAATCATTAGTATTATTATTTGGTAAAAAAGTAAATATTTAAAAATTTGTAATGATTTTAAAGATCAATCATTGGATTGATAAATAAATAAAGAAAACTTTTTATTTCACCATCTCTAAATTATGAACTTTTTTCTGATGTTTTTTGAGTGACGTTTGACGGTAATATTTTTGTTTGCAGAATTGGCATTCAAAATTAGCTTCAGCATGTGGATTGTGAATTATCATGTGAGAATGGAGTTTAACAGAAGTTTTGAACATTTCATTACAATCCGGAAATGAACAGGAATGAATCTTTCCCGTGTAGTGAATGAAGGCATGTCTTCGTAGATCACAATTTCTTATGAAAGTTAATTTGCATTGTTGACAACTGTAAATTTTGCCGATTGGCTTTTTCTCATGAATTCTTTGAATATGTTCATTAAGCACTTGCTTTGTTGAGTAGTTTTTGTTACATTGAAGGCATAAAAAAATATTTGTTTTAGATCTTTGTTTATGCCATTTTATATGTCGTTCGATATTTGGAAGAAACTTATTACAAATCGAACATTCTTCTGGCTTTTCATGAATTTTTAAATGATTCTTTAAGTTATTTTTAGATTTGAAGTGTTTTTCACATAAATTACATTGAAATTTTCTCTCATCAGAATTAAACATTTTTAAATGTTTTAATCGACATTTAACTTTTTGTTGACAACAATCACAGTTTTGCTTCTGATTACTTATATGTAGTTTCATATGCTTTCGAAGTTTTAACAAAGAATTAGTCGTTCCACCACAAGAGTCACATAAGAACTGTTTGTTTTTTGGTACTCTTTGATTTTGCAAGATATTTGTTTTATTTTTGCTATCACAATTAGTCATACTAAAAACTGTGTGTTGAAAATTTTTTTGGACATTCATTTCAACAAATTCTTCAACTCGTTTTGGCGGTGCGATAATTTCAATCTTTGATGATGCGGATTTTTTATTTGTATGTGGTTTCAATTTAAAACTGTGAATTTCAATATTTTTCTTAGGGATTGTTTTTTCTTTTTTACTATGCTTAAGTTTATTTGTACATAGTTCTGCATATTGCATCTTCGCTTTGCTACTGATGTTGTCAAGATCATCTTTTGATTTTGAAAGCATTGAATGTTTCACACATCTCTTTTTGTGTTTTGAATAGTTTGAACTTTGATGAAATTTACGATTGCAGTTCTATAAAAGTGAAAAGAAACAAATTAATTGATTTAAAAAATAAGGTACCTAATTATTTAAATTATCTTACGTTACAAGTAAACTTCGGTGAATTATGAATCATTGTATGATTTCGTAATTGTCTTGATGTTTTGAAGAATTTATCACAAGCTTCAATGGGACAAACATACAACATTCCCGAGTAATGTTGGAAAGAATGACTTCTAAGTTCTTCCTTAGTTAAAAATATTAAATTACATGATTGACATACAAATGCTGGACTACTGCGTTTTTTGTGGATCATTCTTTCGTGAGAATTACGATGTACAGCAGTTGGAAAAATCCTGATACAAAATCGGCAATGATAGTTTGACCTAGGTTGTGTAGATAATATAAGTTGTGTGTTGTCAGGCTCATGTTTCAGGTAAACATGTCGTTGAAAATTTTCATATGTTGATATTTCGGCTCCACAATAATGACAAACATACTTTTCAAAATGAGTTTTAAGATGTTTAAGAAGGCTTGCTTTACAGCTATATGCTTTGCAGCATCCTTTACATATAAACTTGAGTATGTGTAATTTGTTAAAGTGACTTTCCAAACTTTCTTTCATTTTCATTTTAATTCCACAAAGATCACAGGTAAAAGAAGGTTGCCTAATAGAATCATTTGATTCTTTCAATAGAACGGCATCTGAAAAAGCAAGAAGTTTAATTAGAATTGATGTAATGAGAAATAAATAAGGTATATAAGAAAACAAGTAATAATAAGTTTAATAAAATCTCGATTGTTCAACCATAGTAAGCTTACTTTTCATTTTGATTCTTTAATAAATAATATAGGTACTAAGTGACAAATCTTACAAGTGGAAATATCTTTTTTAAATTTTATTATTTTCAACTAAGAAATGTACATAAACAGAAACCTTCGAATCGAAGTGAACTTTTCGAGTAGATTTAACAATTTTCGAAAATTATTTGTTCGAAATTCTGTAATTTGATATCAACTTCATTTCCCTCGAACACTTTCCTTGTGGCAGTTCTGCAAATTGTCAATTATCATATTAAATTTGATTACTTCATCAAAAATGGCATTTGGAGACGTTAAAACCGCCAAAGGTTTGCAAGAACTTAACAATTTTTTGGCTGAGAATTCATACATCAGCGGGTATGTCTTTAACTTTTTTTTAAGACTTAACCTGAAGAACATTCGTTCATTTTTAAATTTAATATTGAATTTAATGGTAAATAATTATGTATTCCTGGTTTGCTTTAAAAGATACACGCCATCCAAAGCTGATTTATCAGTTTTTGAAGCTTTGGGAAAATCTCCTTCCGACTTTGCTAATATAGCACGTTGGTATCGACACATTGCATCATTTTCAACTCAAGAACGTTCGAAATGGACAGGAAGTGCATTGCCTCAAGTTAGCGGTGGAACAACAACTGTTAGTGCTTCAAAAGCTGACGATGATGACGTCGATTTGTTTGGATCAGATGAGGAAGATGATGCTGAAGCAGAGAGAATCAAAGCCGAACGAGTTAAGGCTTATTCAGAAAAAAAATCGAAAAAGCCAGCCCTTATTGCCAAATCCTCAATTTTATTAGATTGCAAGCCGTGGGACGATGAAGTGAGTTATTTTAATAATTCAATTGTAACTATGTGATCTCATAAATAAATGTCTGTTTATAGACCGACATGAAGGAAATGGAACGACTTGTGAGAACGATTGAAATGGACGGGCTTTTATGGGGTGTCTCAAAACTTGTTCCACTTGCTTATGGTATCAATAAGCTTCAAATTTGCTGCGTCATTGAAGATGACAAGGTCTCTGTCGACGAATTACAGGAGAAGATCACTGAATTTGAAGATTATGTTCAATCTGTGGATATTGCTGCCTTTAACAAGATTTAAATCGATTGTACTCGAAACTGAAGCGAATTTTAAACACTTCATAAGCTCCTCATAAGGAATAATAAAGACGCTTAAATGCGAACATCTATGTACTTTTCAAACTACTGATTTGGTTTTTTTAAATTTTTCAAATCTAAATAATGATATTAAAAAATTTCATTTCAAGAATATTTTCTTCAAATTTTCTATGCATTCGCATAAAATAAATTTTATTATGTAGATGAACAGGAAAAATTTGGGACGTTGATTTTAGGATAAGTTCTCAAAACTTTATCCTTAACAAAATGCAGAAATTTAATTAGAAGAATGTGACGTCGGAAGTCGTTTTACATTTTGGGATCAAAAATATAAATTTTTAGGTAAGCATTAATTAAGTCAATATTATAAAAAAAATATATTTTCGATAATAACTTGTGCTATTGCTTCATCACAGAATAGTTTCTGGAAATAAAATTCATGAAGTCTTCAAAGTAAAGAGGAAATTGGTAATATTCAGTAATTTGATTCTTAGAGCTGCTTCAATTAACAGATGAACATGAAGCTAATTAATCATGAAACTCATCAACATCATCTTAGTGCCAAGTGTTAAAACAACAGGGAATCTCAAGAAAATGAAAAATGTAAGCAGTTCGATTTAATTGAATGCTTGACCTTAAATTGAGATAATATGAGTATACCTAACTAAGTAAAATTCTTTTTTTTATAAAACAAATTTGATATTTAACAGAAATTCTATACGTTTGTATAAATCTTGCATCAACGTGAATTTCAAAAATATATTTTCTATGCATAGTCTGATTATTATCTAATGGAACTGATTTAAGAAAATAAATAACCAATTCGTTACTTCAACTTTAATCATTCAATTAACCATGAAATAAAAATTAAGAATTCTCAAGTCATGTCCTATTTTCGCTTTAGTAAAATTTTATAATCTAACAATTAAGTAAGTGAACTAAAACTTTATAAATAATAACCAATCGAGTCTGGTTGAATTAATTTTATCTAAAACCATTCTTTAAATTATTTCAAAATTTAGACGTCAAAAAATTTTTCATTGGTTTTAACATGCAAAGCGAAGAGATAAGATTAGAAATCGTTTTTAGAATTCCCCAACAAAATTTATTTCTGAGAATTTTGCGAAATTCAACAATTATGTTCAAGAACTTGAAAATATGTAGAAGAGATATTTAAGAGAGATTATCAATCGTTGATGTTACACAACGCATGAGTGATTTAAAATGAAAAGTTACATTATAAGTAATCTAAATCATATATTTCATCTATTTTAAAAGATTGATTAAAATAGGAAGTTTTTTTTGTTCTGTTCCTTATTATGTTCATGTGCTTAATAGAAAAATAAAAGAATCCTAATTGGTGTTCGGCGAATCATTTCCGCTGCTGCTATTATTATTCTGTTTTTCAATTTTTCCGCTCTCTGTTACCATAGTGCGCTCAATGCGCTTTTGAGATTTTGAAAGTTGAGCAATTTCTCTAAGCTGATTTTGAACCTTCTTGTTCAGTACTTCGAGTTTCGTCTCGTAAAGTCGTTCTTGATCTTTCATTTTATTTCGCATTTCCGTTTCGATTGTGAAATGTTTTCCTTTCCAATCTGTGATCTAAATATGATGAAAGGAGTGGAGATCGTGATCGTAAATTACTGATTTTCAATTCACGTTTAAGATATTATTTCCTTCTTTTCCAAAAGGTGAAAGTTCTTAGAAAAAATATACAAAAAGTTTTTAAGTCACTCACCTCCTTATCTTTTTGAAGCAGTTGATTATCTTTTTGTTGAAGTTTTTTTTGTAGCGTTGCAATTTGTTCTCGCAATTGTGTAATAACCGACAAGTCAACTACACCTTCGATATGATCAGAGTTACTAGGATTTCCACTGTTTCCTGACTTTGCTATTTTTTCTGGAATCTCTCCCATGTTTGATTTAGAGTGTTGCGAACTATTGTTGCCACTTCTATTGTTCGATGATCCTGCGTTGCTGAGTTTATGCATTCCTCCTAATTTAAGACCTGCCTCATCAGCCGATCGTTTTTTTTGTCTGTGTTTATCATTTTCAGAACTTTTAGCTTTTGCTAATGCTCGCTTATAACTCAACTTGCAAAGCCAACAATGTAGCTTTCCATCGACTCGGTGGTTTTCTCTGTTGAATGCACAGATTTGCTGACAAATTTCACATTTTACGGCCGGTCCAAATTTATATTCTGAAGATGTGCATCTACAATTATTTTAAGAGTAAAGAAAGGGTTTTCAAAGATTGTTTATTTTGATTTTTTGTGAAAGGGATAATAACCTGTGACATTTATCTGTTTTAAATGCAGCATTTATAGAACACAAAGAGCAAGCTGACGGTTTTCCATATAATTTCAAGTTCGCTAAGCACCGGGGACAAGCATTTGAAGATTTTCTGAATGCAAAAGATTTCAATATATTAATTTATGGTTAATTTCGTTTGATTAGATTTCCTCAGTATTTCTTACCCAGTTTGCTGGAATTCGGATCTGCAGTAAGTACACTTAGATTTTGCTGTAGCATTACGGCATTCCTAAATTTTTTAATTTAAAAAAGATACAGAATACAAAGAATGAAATATTTTATTGTCAATACATTTTAAAAACAATGTAGAGCAGAGTTTTTATGTATTTACCCCACAAAACATATCCTCATTAGACGAAGCGAATATTTCCTCGAATGGATATCGTTTGAAACATCTCGAACATGCAAACAGTGGATTCATTTTAATGGTTTTATGACTTTATACTGTGAAAATATTTTTATGTTCTTTCGAATGTAGATTTTTGTTTTCTTTCGAATTCGCATTCGCATTGGGAAAATAAGAGAAAAAAAGTCGACAGTCCAAACTTTTGTCGAATTTAATTATTTTGTTCTAAAGTTACTATTGACTATGTGTGTAAATTAAGTTCCATTTATGGTTTTCAGCTTGGGGTACGTTGAATTGCCCAAAAATCATGAATTTTTTTTTTCTTAAAAAAAGAAGCCTTTTGAACATTAAATTAAGTTATCTAGTTTTAATAAATTAAAGACTATGAAACAGATATCCATAAAGTAAGGGTGGGAAGGTGGAGTATTTATAAAGGAACATCTTTCCCAGAGAGAGACTCCATACCTAGGAATTTCAGTTAAAATTTTATAGACTTCTTTCTGTTCCACACATAGAATTTACCATTGTTGTGGATTTGTTTTAAAATGCAAAGTAACCAAAGGGCTAGCCAAGGGGAAAGTTAGTAAAGTTTTACCGTAATTATTCGAAATAAAGCAGCTTAAAATAATAAGGAGCGATGGCTATGATGCGTTACAAAATTTAGTTGTGTAGTTATTGGATGAACTTCAATTCAAAAACTACATTCATGAGATATTATTTGTATGTAGGTAATATGCTATTATTTTAATTGTTTAATTTAGGTATCTTTCGTAATTCACATATTAAGTTACAATTCAATACCCTTATTCTGTTTATAAAATAAACCTAAATGGAATAGTAGCATGACTTATATTTTGGTATTATTTATAAATCTATGCATCATCTTTGTTTGAAGTATTCAAGTGTCGCATTATTACTCTCAAAATAAAGCACATTTCATTTGGTTAAAACCACTGAAACAGAGATTTGCTTGAAAATGGAAAACTGGAATGTAGAGTTTACATAGCTACCTAGGGTTAAAACATATTCCAATGTATTCACATAAATACCAGCCCACTAATACAGTTTAAAAGTGTACAATCAAGGAAAATTGTAAATATTTCATTTAATTCCGCAAACCGAGTAAAGCGCTATAGAAAAACTATTTTTTTTATTTTACAAAATTATTCAATTAACAGAGTTTGTTGTGGATATCCCAGATATCAAAGATTAAATGAGCACAATATAAATATTAAAAAGTAATACACAGAAATCGACTTGCCAGTTTATATTTTGAAGAACGTGAATAATCTCAGAGGAAGGAAGTCAACATAAAGGGAATATATTTTGACGCCATGATTTTTCCATAATGGAAAATTTTAAAAGAATATTTTCTTGATTATTTCGTAAAGAAGTAAGATTTTTGTGTAGCTTTAAAATTAAAGTAAAGTGAAAGTTGAAAATCAAATACTTTGTATAGTGTAAAAAAGTAGCAAGTAACAGTAAGATGGAAAAACAAAAATTAATGCTATGTCAAAAAAAATAAATGTTGGAAAAGTTGTTTTAGAATATTTTCCCTATTCTGTAAAAAGTTTTGAATTTAAAATATATTGAAAGACACTGTGATTTAATTTGAAGTCATAATATGGAAAATATTAACACATGAATTACTCGTCGTTTCATCCTTTCCATCAAATTAGAAAATCAATATTTTTACGTCTACCAACATTTTTACATGCAATTTTCCAGGCCCTTACAAATACTTTCATACAACAAAGCAAAAGGAGTTGTGTAGTGCTGTGTTTTAAACAGAATCAGTAAAATATTATTTATGTAGAACTGTTTGACACACGTGATGTCATGATTTTTACGTTTATTCTTTAATAGGAATGAAAATATTTCATTTGCTCATCTAGCAATATTTTTATTTTTAAAAATTAAATTAAACTCAAATAGATACCTTACATATATTAAACTTTATCTAAATCATTTATTTATATTCCGGTTTAAAAAATGAAAAACTTTTTTTTGTTTCTATTTCAATTTCAAATAATAATATTTAGTACCTAACTGTTTTTAATATTATTTCTTATTTCTTTATTTATATTAGATATTCTTTAATATTAATGATAAAAATGTTTTGTATTTTATCTAAAATTAGGAATATTAACGATCTTGTAAATGAAAATTTCTGGCGACTTAAACACTCTAAATAGAAAATGGTTATGGCTTCAACCGAAGAGCAAGACAGACGAATTGTGCTTGAGTTTTGTCATTTACTGGAGAAATCAAAGCAGCTTTTCAATGGACTCAGAGATCTACCGCAGTATGGTGAGTTGGTTTTGAAAATTTTTACCCAAAATAATTAACATTTGTCTCATTTGTTTAAGGTCATCGTCAGTGGCAAGCATATTTCGGTCGAACGTTTGATGTTTACACAAAACTCTGGAAATTTCAGCAGCAACACCGGCTAGTGCTTGATTCAAAATATGGGTTGAAGCGATGGCAAATAGGAGAAATAGCTAGCAAAATTGGACAGTTATATTATCATTATTAGTAAGATTATTCAATTTAATATTCTTTATGATGATAACAATAACAATCGAAAATATCTTATAGCCTCCGTACAAGTGAAACAAACTATCTTAATGAAGCGTATTCATTTTATGCTGCAATCCGAGGGCGAGCTTATTATTCCCGCGCATGCAAAGAGGATCGACCCGATTTAATGGTCAAAAAGTTGAGATATTATGCTAGATTTATTGTTGTGTGTTTATTACTGAAGAAAATGAAACTTGTTCGAGAGCTTGTAATAGAGTTGGAACGACAAATACAAGAGTATACTTCAACGTGGGTATCAATACATATATACATATTTCAGCATTCTATTTTAGTGAAACTATATCAACAACTTGTTTTATCACAATTTAGGTATGAGCCTGAAGATGCTTTGGAATGGGCACTCGTGCTTGATGAGATAAAAGGATTCATAAAAGCCGATGCTGCAGTATCGGTTCTTCATGCCGATTCAAATCCAATTGTGCTTTCACACAGGTGAGCCATAGAAAATAGCAAAATCTGAAGGAGGAAAGAAAATATGTTCAATCCCATTATTTGTTTTACATATATCTAGCTGTTTACGTTTAAGTTTTATTTCATTTCAGTGTTTTCTTTTTCAAAATCCTATTAAATTAATGATTGCTTCTAAATAAGAAAAGAGGAAAAAATAATTGATCTTTCCTATTCAAAATATCTACTTCTTCCATATAAATTAATTAGCAATTAAAAGTTATGATTTGTAGGCCCGTGTTTTCAATTTTTGATTTTTTCTAGTTAAAATTTAATTCTAATAATAATGGTGTCATGATACCATTTCATAGAGTCTTTCATAATCGTTAAGGTTAGATGAATTCATAGAAAGAAAATATTTATTTAAACAGATTTTTGAGCTGAACATAAGTATTAATGCCAACAATAATTTTTAATATACTTTTCATATTGAGAAACTTTTCCCGTCTAATTCTCTCTACAGACAAATTAAAACAACAAAAACGATTGATTTAAGATAAACGAAGGGCCTAAAATCCTAATATATTTTATGTTCAATCAATGAAAAATCATTATTTTGAATACTCAAAGTCTCCGTTCTCTAACAAAAAAAATTATATTTTTCTATCCAAATTTAATTCAAATCATTTATGTACATGATTTTGCATTTTTGTTTTTCTTTATTGGAAAAAGAAACGAAATTCACAAATAATTTTCAATTCTTAATTCGTCATCTATATTGGAATTACATAGGTTTGGTTGCAGTTAGAGGATAATCTAAAAATAATAAGGAGCTTTGATTATTTGGACTATTCATATGATATTGATGAAATTTGAATAAATCCGAAATAACTGAATTGGTTTCCCTTTAGTATCTTATATTAATCTTACCTAACATTTGATAAGTACATCCAAGCCTAAGTGATTCAACTTATCTATTGTGTTTTAAATAATATTAATCTAAACTTAATTAATATTATATTTTGCAATACATGTCGATCACTCACATGCTTCCTTATCATTCATATAAGTTTTATTATTTTACTTTACGTTTTCTCATTTTCATTATCATTGAGAAAGCACGGGCCATCATTAAGTTTTGTCGAACATAATCATCTTCACCGTTTAATCGATTAGTGGTTCTGGTTCCAGGTTAAGTCCATTGACAACGCCTCCATGTGAGCGCTCACCACACATGACACTTTCATTGCAAGAGATACTTATCGTTGGCTCAGCAGTGGAACAGGCAAAATTTTCTGAATTGACGATGGATATGTTCAGGTGGGATAGTGTTTTACCATGGTTGATCTTTAAACAGAACGATGATTCATAAATTATTTTTAAAGAATGCTACAAACATTGGAGAGAGAGCCACAAGAGTTATTTCATGGATTATCAAATCCAATGACTCATGGAGGTCCACATGGTAAATTTGAAAGTTAATATCTTATTTACATTTAAATTGGGTGTAAATTTTTGAACTTTTAGATGCCAGCCCAGCTGCAAGTCGAATGCCCGCATATGTGCCTGGTTCTAAGGGTTATATAGAAAATGGTGATAATCGTCGCTTAATGCGTGATAATCCACATAAATATTTATTGTATAAACCATCCCTAAGTCAGTTAATGGTTTTTCTATCAAGTGGGTTCAAAGAACTCCCACCTGGTGGAGCCTTGCTTTTGTATATTTCTGCTGACGGCTGTTTCTCGACTACGAAACATCCTCAAGATTGTGAGTTAATTTTAATTTATGTAATACAAAAAATCATTTGTGGACGTTTTAAAATTATTTCTATTGTCTGTACGTAGATGGTTATGAATTGGGTGGTTTAGCTACAAGTGTGAAACGTGATGGAACTGATAGTGGCGTATCCATTAGAGGAAAATCAGTAGCAACACTTAAGGAACCACATTGCTTATATCCTGGTGATTTATATCCTTTTACAAGACGCCCTTTGTTCATTATCATCGATTCCGACAATTCATTTGTTTTTGCTCATATTCCAAAATATTTTGGTCAGCCTTTAGTCATCCTGATGTCACCGCAAGATGTGCCACAAAATTTTCAGGGTAAAGGTTTGTATCTGAAACATTAGTATTGATATCTAATCAGCTTTGTTTTACAGATCTTCATCATCATGGCTCATTATTTACACTATTCCTTCATTCCCCTCTAACTGCTCTATGTTTCATATGTAATGTTGGTGATGTTGCAATTCACCATTGGGAAAGATGTCAAAGTTATATTGATCGATTTGTCACTGAAGCTTCAAGACTCGTGACCAGATGTAGAATGGATGATATTGAACAAGGGAGTGGTTATATAGGTAAAATAAAACAATCCTTGCCTTGTTATTATTAATTATAGAAGAAGAAAATTCAATTTTATTTAAATGATATTCTCAGATTCGTCTTACGTACAATTCTTCGGTGATGATTTTCTCCGAACTCTTATTCTTCGCTTTGTATTTTGTGATGTTACAATGCGGTTACATCGTAGTTTTCGTGGAAGACATCAACGACCACGTTGTGAGCCACCATTACCAACTACTGAACTTCTGGAACATCCATCATTAGCGCACATTGTCCTTCAACTAGCTACCCAGTTAGACGTTCGAGGACATTTTACGGAAGCTGCCGAAGGTGACTGATTTGAAAAAAAAAACTGAAATACATTGGTCGTAGCGAATCAAAGTAGATGAGAAAAAAAATATGTAGTGGAAAGGGAAACTTTTTTATTACATTTATACTGAAAACTAAAGCTTCTATCATACTTATAATATCAAATTCACGATGAAAACATCCAATACAAACATTGTCATTTTATTCGCTAGTAAAGCAAAGTTAAGTGTTTCTTTAAATATTTACTGCGCAAAGAAAAAACTCCTTAAATATAAGCCAAGAAATGGAAGAGAACAAGAATTAAAAGCAAAATGTCGATATCATATACATTACATACACACAACTTCAAATAAAATGAATAACAAGTAATGTGTTCATGTGTATTCAATCGCATGAAGCGAAATTAACGCTGAAAATAAAAGAAAATAAATATTTAACAAATTTTACGATGATATTCTAAAAGATCCTTCAAGAAAATTCTATTCGCTAAGGATACTACTTTAATCTTTTGACAACAATTTCTATGCATTAAATTTCTTCTCTTCATTGCTATTTGGCTTTGATTAACGTACAATCCTTTCGTATTTATTGTTCCTAGGTAGACATCCAACTTACTAATTGACTTAAGCCTGAGTACATTTTATGCCCCTAAAAGAAGGAGAAAGATAATAAATCGAATACTTAATAATTCCTTTGCCATTTATCATCTAATCTAACTGTTTCTTAATTTTTAATCAGCATAACTATTTTCTTATTTTTATGTTTACTAAATACATCTTAAATTTAAAATTTTTATTTTTTGGAGTTATAAAATATTATGAAAGCTATCATCAGAAGGCAAAGAAAAAAAATCGACAATAATAAACACATTTATTGCGAGCAACAAGAAAACCTATTTCCATATTGTTCTTAAAAATGATAACTCTTTTATTGACCCTCTTGGTAATCTTATCATATATTAGGAAGAAGAAATAAAATTGAAAGCATCGCACTTTGAAATCGGTGATATTTGATAGAAAAGATTATGAGATAAAAAATTGAATTTAAAATAGTTATGTGTAAAAGTCGCTTACATACGTTCCATCCGCTAGCCTTCGAAAAAAAGCATACAAACTAACAATTCCACCATTATGGTAGATACTAGATGGTTATTATCGCGCGCTTTCATTCATAAATAATTATATATCTATGCTATGTATATATAAATATATTATTTAATAATATATAATATTTATATACATACATAC